CTTCATTACCATTTGTTTTTCTTCCAGATGTTGCTAAAAACCTTACTAGGTCCTTTGCTCTTTTCTTCTTCCCAGAGACCCTTGCTTGCACTTAGTGCAGCATTAACATTGATCCAAACCCCGGTTTTGTCAAGGGCCTGGAGTGAGGATCAGCCAAGTATTTCTAATCTACAGTTATTTTTGTGCAATTCTGAAATCCAGAAAAGCTCTCAAAAACCAAAAGTTATTTTTGTTAGTTGAGTTGGTGGAGAACCTGACCTGAAGCATTGTAAGGCTATTTGTAGTCTTTATTTATCTCCCTTTGTAGAAATATATATATGTTGGCAATGGACTGCGGCCAACGTAGAAATGATACGCTATGTGCATTGTGTTAAATAACCTTTCTAAAAAAAAAAAAAAAGGATCTGAATTCTGAAATACAGCTGGCCCCAAGACTTTTAGATAAAGGATTTAGGCCTTCTATTACCATCTCACAGGAAGTGAAAATATTTTATTAGCCATAATTCTATATTTAAGATATTTATCTTTAGCACAAACAGTCTCAGCACAGTGACAGAGGTAAATGAGGTCTTCCTGAGTCTGCTGGTGCAGCCTTACCTTTTGTGTTCTTTCTGCCTCAAAGAGTTTCTTTCAAAGTTAGTCAAACAAAACATCCTTAACTCTGTGTCTTAACGTGTTATTTCTCTTATTGTGGAAAATCCTTTTCTCTCTCTTTTCTTCTAATTCTTCAGTAGAATTCCTATTATTTCCTGAACTTTCTCCTGATTAGCTATAGGCCAGAGAAGGGTATATGTATGTGTACAGTTTTATTGTAAGTGTAATTTACCTCTACAACTAGATCTTAACTCCTAAGCTAAAAGAGGTTCTGTTATAAATCTCTTAGCATTCATCATAATGTCTTTTATGGTGATTTGCATTTATTAGATATTAATGTTGTTTGGTTTTGGGGAGGAGTGGAATGAAGGTCTGTTAGAGCAGCAAACGTATGCTCTGATGAAATTGTCAAACTGTTCCTTTTTGTTTATTGTTTTAGTTACTACATACCTAAGTAGCATAAACAAATAGTAGAAATGGGGGTTGGAAATGGGAATAAGGGCCTGTTGTTTTCCACTAGTTGCTATAATATGGAAAGATCTGTGTTGCTTATATTCTTCAGTTTAGCAGTGTGTGGTTGTTTTGGTCTTTTATTTTCATGTATTCCTTTATATTTATGTCTTGAAGCACTGTATTTTATAAACCAATTAAATATAGCCATTTAAATATTGCTATTTACTTTTAAGGACTGAAGCATTTTACTAAAATAATGTTAAAGGACAAGTACCAGCATTTGTCCTAAGTACTGAGCATCTACTACACATCTGCTAGTGTGCTATGTATTTCTTGAATCTTTAATAATTCAGTCATATTTTACGTGAGAAACTGGTTAAAGGTTCCCAGTGAGTATAGAGCTTATACTTGAAACCCAAATTTATCTAATTTTGCCAGAATATTGTTTGCTAATCATGAGAGATTTTTTTTAGAGCAGGAGAATGAAGGGTAACTGTTAAATAGAAGATGCTTAATTATGTAAACGGAAAGGATCTTTTGGAATTGTGCTTTTGTTATTTTTCTCACTGTGGTTTTCAGCTTCATTTTTTGCTCATAATCCAAACCATACTTAATCAGATGTCTTTTGTTTAAGTTGTTCATTTATAAAAATGAGACAACAAAAATGTTGCAGGATGACATAGCTAAAAGAGAAGAGTTAGTTGACCTAGAAATATTTTTGAAGTAGAAATTTAAATTTTATTTTTCAAAAGAAGTTCGGTATAAAGCATCTAATTCAGTATTAGGAATTTAGATCAGCAAATTTTAATAGGAGGGCCAATATTTGAGCACAGTAATCAGCAACATTAGTACGTGTTAAATGAAAGATAATGCATATTAATTGATTTAAGGTAATACTGAATGAAACTAAGAATAAAATGAAATCAGGTATGTTTATTTGTACCACAAGCTTGTAAAAAGTAGTGTTTTAGAGTTTTATAATACGAGATATTTAGTACTCGGTGCTGAATGCTTTTTGATAGGATGATGATCTCCCCCTAATGGAGAACATAGGGCCACTATTGAGTATGTGGCATTTAGATGAGGTAGCAGCATATTTTCTGGGAGATAGGAATTCTGCAGTAAAAACTGGTGACACCTTAGACTACAACTTTACATACTTGTAAATTTTCTGCCTGAGATGAGAACAGAAGCCATAAGACTTGATGGATTTTTTGAAGGGTGTTTACAGACAGAGAAGAACTCAAGAAATCTTGGGGAATACCCACCCAGATTTGAAAAAGGGAGGAGGAACCAATGAAATGAAGAGAGAAAAGTAGTCCTGGCTATAGAAAAAGAAGTAAGATCATATTGTGCCATGAAAACCAAGTGCAGAGTTTTAGTGGGTGGTTAAGAATGTCCAATGTTACAAGGCAAGAGAGCCCAAGAACTGAGAAAAGCAAGAAAGTAGTCATTGATTGCTTTTAGTAGAGTTATTTAATCTGAAGCATGGATTGGAAGCCATTTGTCGGGAGTTAAGGGAATAAATGGTAAGAGGTAGAAGCAGCTATTAGAGATCATACTCAAAGAATGTGGCAATTAAAACAGTCATTCAACTTTTAAACAGCATCTTTATAAAATGGGGGAATTTGTGTTGTGTTAAAGGCAGAAAAGAAGGCCCTTATGGAGAAGGAGAAGTTGAAGATCCTGGAAAGGAAGGAAATAGTATTGGGAGAAAGTTCTTGTAAAGGGGGTAGAGGAAGATTAACTAGAGTCAAGAGATGATCTCCGTATTAGGACAGAGAGGCAAAAGTATAGAGCTTTTAAAATAAGCTTTCCCTACTAAAATAGACTTTTCTAAATTATATGTCTAATGAAGGAAAGATTTTTCACCCTGATCAAAGTTTCCAAGCAGTGTTAGAATGGGGCCAGAAATTCTTTCTCGGAGCACTGCCATTAGAAGGGATTGGGAATGTATCCCTTCTCCAAAAGTAGGCGGTAGAATGCATTTTTGCATGGATTTAAAATTTGAGCAAGAATTCCTTTCATTCATTCAAATGGCTAAGCTGTAGGATCTGAGGATAAGAACTGTTATAGAAATTTTCATTTCCATTTTTAGGAAGGTTTCTTGAGTGTCTAAGGAAATCTATCTCCTTTTAAAAATTATTTTACAAATATTTATTGAGTTCTTTGCCAGGCCCGGTATTTGCTGTGGAAGGCACATAAATGGATGAATTAAGGCTCCTGCTATTCTAGAGCTCATATTTTAGTTAGATTTGTAAAGAAATTGTCTACCCTTTTTCTCTGCTTAGACCTTTTACTCTTAAATACCGATTTAATTTTAAAATATAACATAGACATAAAATAAGTCCAGGAATGATCTAGAGCAAGAAAATATAAATGTAAAAAAATGTAAGTTCATGTCTCAAATTGAAGAGAAATTATTAACTATGAACAGTATTTAATGTAGGACTATGTTTATGACTTTTATTTTCTAATCCTTGTCTGAGGATGTGTTTTTATTAACTTGAGAGAGAGAGAGAGAGAGAGAGAGAGAGAGAGAGAGAGAGAGAGAGAGAGAATGAGATTGATGTGAGAGAATCATCAATTGGTTGCCACCTGTATGTGCCCCAACTGGGGATCAAACCTGCAACCTTTNTGATGTGAGAGAATCATCAGTTGGTTGCCACCTGTATGTGCCCCAACTGGGGATCAAACCTGCAACCTTTTGGTGTATGGGACGATGTTCCAACCAACTGAACCACCTCACCAGGACTATGTATGTGACTTTTAAAAAAACATTTTATTTAAATACAGATTTATACAGTTGGCTTAATAGAAGTTCTGATGTATCTGATATGAACAGATAAACATTCAACTAATACAATTTCTCATTGATCAGATATAAATCAGATATTTATTAATGTTTGCAAGTGAAAAATACAAGGATATAGCACAGTTACTCAATTTTTAAGTACTTTGTAAGGTTTGGCTGTTCTTAGAATGTCAGCAGGTGTTTTGAAACTTTTAGAGAGGAGAGATAAAGAACATCTGGTTGTCATTCCATCTAGGCAGTCACATTATTGGCTTACATGGAATATTTTTTACTAATTTTATGGATAAAAAAATTAATGCTTGCATATAAGATTGTATCTGATATTTTTTGTAGATGGGTTGGTGTGCAGATACTGATTACATGTATATGTTTTTAGTACCAGAATAACATTTCTGAAGGATAATTAGTCTGGCACAAGGTCACTTTAAATAGTAGAAAAGATCTCAGTTAGGGATTTGCAATTTGGTGCTTTAGAAGACTTATTCCATCTTGTAGAACAGAAGATGCTGATGCAGTGTCAGAGACTGAACACCTTGGTCACTACTAGGAAAATTGGTGATGTTTATGAGAGTATCAGAGTGAATTTCATGATGTTAATTTTAGGTAAAAACAATGAAATAGAAAATATTCTAGTGAAGGAGTCCTAAAAAATACTTCAGTCCAACTCTGTTTACAAGTTGTGTGACCTGCTATGAATCTCTTTCCTTGGATGTAAAAAAGGCAAAACTCTCAGGGTAAAATATGTTATAAAATAGACATGCAATAAAATGTCTGTGAAGGTACATTATAATTTGAGAACAAACGTACAAGCAAACGTAAGGTGATGATACTGTATTTTTAATTTTTACATAGTCATTTAATAGAAGAGATGTATACTGAAGCTAATATTACCAAAATATTTAGAAGGACAGGTAATAAGAGGTTGGAGAAATAGAGGTAAAATATGAGCCTATATTGAATATTTGAAATCATCCTCATTAAATCAGCATTTTGTCATTTTGTGAAAGCATTGCTATAGGGATAATTAAATAACGATACTTGTGGATTTTTGTGAAGCACAGTTGTATTTGTCATTATTACATACATTTAAAGAGTAGTTATACATCTTTTTTCTTTTCTCTTTACACTTAAAATGAAGTTTATGAATACCGATGGCACTGGGAGACGAGTACTAGTGGAAGACAAAATTCCTCACATTTTTGGGTTTACTTTGTTGGGTGACTATGTTTACTGGACTGACTGGCAGAGGCGGAGCATTGAAAGAGTACACAAACGAAGTGCAGAGAGGGAAATCATCATAGATCAGCTCCCTGACCTCATGGGCCTAAAGGCCACAAATGTTCATCGGATCATTGGTAAGTAATTCCAAAATTCTCTTAGAAGCCAGAAATGAGTTAAGATGGAAAACAGGCAGCAGTTTGTAAAGCAGAATTATGAATTGTTGATGTTTTGAGGAAATATAGAAATCATCTGTTAACCTTACGTTAAAACCAGGGATCAGTCTTTCAGATGTTGGTTTACTACTCTACTCTGGTCACATAGTTTGAATTGAAGGGATACACACACACACACACACACACACACACACACACTCATCAAAAGAATTCAGCCCTATGTGTGAATAATGTAGCCTATTTTAAGCTTACTGTAGGTACAAAGGGAAGTATTTTGCCATACTTTAATTCCCAATTGACCAGCAAGGGAGTTTTGAACTGCTCCATTTCCAGCATGGGCCAGTTCACCCTTCCTTAAGTCCTCACTCCTGGAAGGTCACCATATTGATGCCAACTTAGTGCAGACACCTGAGTGGCATAGCGTACTACAGCTCAGAACTCCTGTTCTCTAGCAGTTCTCCTGGCTCGGCCTACCAAGTAGCTGGGGCCACAGCTCGCAACACTGCACCCCGCCTTTTGTTCCCTGTCACTGCTCATAGTGCTTGTTTGTGAGATTAGAATTGAAACTCTAGATTTGGGAGCAGATATAATCATAGGTCTTTGTGAACCAAATGCTAAGTCATTTAAAGTAAAAATGTGTTGATTGTGTCAATGTGTGTGTCCTTCTGTGCTTTTTTATAATTAATTTATCTTTTAGGTTCCAACCCCTGCGCTGACGAAAATGGAGGATGTAGCCATCTTTGCCTCTATCGCCCGCAAGGCCTTCGCTGTGCCTGTCCCATTGGCTTTGAACTCATCAGTGACATGAAGACCTGCATTGTCCCAGAGGCTTTCCTTTTGTTTTCTCGGAGAGCAGATATCAGGCGAATTTCTTTGGAAACTAACAATAATAATGTGGCCATTCCACTCACTGGTGTCAAAGAAGCTTCTGCTTTGGATTTTGATGTGACAGACAACCGAATTTACTGGACTGATATATCACTCAAGGTTAGCAAAAGAAGTGGAATATTAAAATGGGGAACTATAAAGGAGAGCTGCTAGAATTTCTGAATCTTCATTCTGTCATCAGCCTCCCTCATTGCTTAACAGGCAGAATTCAGTAAAACCTTAAACTTTTTAAAGGAAGTCAAGGAAAGGCCCATTCAATATTCAGTTAACTGCCTTTTAATACAAGATACCTCACTTGAGCACCTAACTCTGTAAGACATAATCTTCCTCTGCTATGTTCCCTTTGAAGATAATGAGTGACATTTTCTGCACTTAGAGAGTAAGCAATTGTATGCTTCACATTAATGGCTTAGAGACTTGATTCTTAATTTATTCTCAACAAAATTTTGAAGCCTGACTGAGGTAGAAAATGCCAATTCTGAGTTATAGCACAACTTTTCTTTTTCCTGGAATAAACATTGAAAAGCATACTGAGTCAAAAAGGAGTTCTCAGAATCTGGAGAATAATGTTTTCTTCCAGATTGTTTTGGGCTTGTTTCACATAACTTGCGTAAAATTTTGTCTGACATGCCAAAATCATAGAGTATTGGAGCCAGAGTAGGATTCTGATAATGTTCAGTAAAATCTATTAAACGAGTGAATAAATGAAGTAAGTAAATAAATCTTGGCTTTTACTGTGGCCTTCTAAGTTTCCTCATCTTGAAAATAAAGATGAGCCCAGCCGGGCATGGTGCAGCGGTTGAGCGTCGACCTAGGATCCAGGCGACTGGGGTTCGATTCCCAGTCAGGGCACATGCCTGGGTTGCGGGCTCGATCCGTAGTCAGGGGCATGCAGGAGGCAGCCGATCAATCATTGATGTTTCTGTCTCTCTCTCCCTTTCCTTTCCTCTCTCTGAAATCAATAAAGATATATTTAAAAAAGAAAATAGAGATGATCCCTATCTTGTAGGGCTATTGTGAGGATTAATTAGAAAATATATGTACAAAGAATACATAGGATAGTGCTTGACAGGAAGTAGCAGCTGTTACTAATAGCCTGAATTATGATTATTTTAAATTTTAGAGAATTCAAAGCTATAGTAGGAATAATATAATGGCATGCATTTTATTTATTTACTAGTTATTATTATTATTTTCTGATCCTCCCCCGAGGATAGGTTTCCATTGATTTTTAGAGAGGACGATAGAGAGAGAAAAAAAAAGAAACATCACTGTGAGAGAGAAAGAAGCATCGATTGGTTGCCTCCCTTACCTGCCCTGGTAAGTGCCTGGATGCTCCAACCAACTGAGCCACCCAGCCAGGGTGGTATTTTGCATTTTATAAGGTGTAAGTTTGCTGAATCTTCTCAAATTGACACAATGGCATGGCAAAGCTTACTACCAGTAAAGAGTCTACAACATTCTGGTCACTTTTTCTTTCACTCGATTAATAAATTTTAAAAGTCATTCCACTGTCTCACTAGAATAAATTTTTTGTCCTTAAGAATTTCAAAAATTTCTCCCTGAATTGGCAATAAAACTTGAGTTCAAGGTTGCTTTTATTAGAGCTTGATATCATTGTTTCCTTATGTTCATAATTGTATCAAGAAACTGTGCCTCCAGCTTTTCTGGATCCTCCCACCCAACAAAACCCAAATCAAACGTTCTTTCTTGATAGTGTTTTGTACTTAAGCCATTTGACTTTGTTAATCTTATTTTTGCAGACCATCAGCAGAGCCTTCATGAATGGCAGTGCACTGGAACATGTGGTAGAATTCGGCTTAGATTATCCAGAAGGCATGGCTGTAGACTGGCTTGGGAAGAACTTGTACTGGGCAGATACAGGAACGAATAGAATTGAGGCATCAAAGTTGGATGGGCAGCATCGACAAGTTTTGGTGTGGAAGGATCTAGACAGTCCCAGAGCTCTTGCGTTGGACCCTGCTGAAGGGTAAACAGCTTTATGTATGCATTCTTTGCAACTACATTGTACATGGCCTAGTTTATGGGTTATATTCTTTTTTTTTTTTAAATCCTTACCAGAGAATGTTTCCATAGATTTTAGAGAGAGAGGAGGGGGGGGGGAGAGAAACATAGATATGAGAGAGAAACATTGATCATTTGCCTTTCATTCTCACACCCCAACCTAGGATTGAACCTGCAACCTAGGCATGTGCCTCTACCTGGAATTGAACCTGCAAACTTTCTGATGGACAGGATGATGCTCCAACCAACTGAGCCACCTGGCCAGGGCATGGGTTATATTCTTGATGTCTTAATTCTTATTAGGAATCTGACAACTAAACTATATAGATAGTCTTTATTTTAAAACCATTTACTGACATTTCACTGATTTAGAATGAATAATAATGAGCTAAATTTTACTTTTTGTCATTATGAACATTGGATGAAGAACTAGTAGTGAAATAGATTATTAATTAAATACTGCTGCCTTTATTTATATACTGAGTAAGCAGCCTTTACAAAGGCATCATCAAGTTTATATTTCCTTTCACCCTCTCCCAAGTTATACCAGATTCCAAACCTGTTAAAGTAAATCCTCTGAAATAATATTGTGTGCAAAGAAATAACTGCATTTTAAAAAGCTCCATTTTTAGAATATGCATTCACTCAAGAGGACAACTATTTTGATCATTATTATAAGCTTGGAGAAACTTTGTTATTAAACAGTTAACTGTTTTTAATAAATGAACAGTAAACTATTTACAAAATGATGTTTTCTGAGAGTAGATGATTCTGCATGATTTAGACAATTTTAAAAAGTCAGCTAAGAGATCTGAAAATTGAAGAGTAGTTTCACTTTTTAAAGCAGAAGTTAACAATGTGAACGTACAGGCATATTTTACCATATATCTAATTAAAAATAGTTTCCCTGAAATCACACTAATTCCATGATTAGCTAGTTAGCCATACACAGCTTCTGTGTGCTGACATGTTGTGGTTGGATTATGGTGATCTTTTACTTTAAGCTTCAGTTACCAGACAGATAAATTTAGTAGTTAGGACTAAGGATTCTAGTTTATGTGGCTGCTGGCAACTGTGAAATTTCTCTCCCAGTTGTTTCTCTCTGACTCTTGTGGTGTACACGTGTCTGTCAGCTGACAAGTACAGATGCAAACAAAGCCCGAGACCAACTTTACTTTTCAGAAAAGCATTGCTACCAAGTCAGCCATTAGCTGAGAGGCTCATAAGTGAATGTCTCTGTTCAGGTATTTGATGAGAGTTGGCATGTGGAGTGCTTTTCTAGTCCCAGTATTCAGAGGATTTAGAAACTAGCACCTTACTAGTTTTAGTTGAAAGGGCATTTGGCTAAGAAATTGGTTAAAGTTCTAGTTCTGTCATGTGACTGGCTTAAAGACATTAAGCAAATCATTCACATTTCTTTCAGTGCATTGGCCTCCTCATAATCAAAAAGCCTATAGTACTGTAGGGCTTCTCCAAGGGTAATGTGAAAAACTTGGAAAAGTCAAATAAAAGCAAAAGCATATTCTAAAATTTCACAGGGATTATAGTGGTAGTGTTCAGTTCCCAGATGATTCATTGCTCTTATATACATAGTATGTTCCCTTGAACCATTTGGCAAATATATTTTCAAACTTTGCTTTTTTAACTTCAGTTAAAGGCTATTAACTTGTACTTTTGATGCACTCCTGCATCTTGTTTTTGGGGAGATTGATTATACAATTCGAACAGTAAGTTTAAAAATTTAAAAACTCAGATTACTTGTATTCAGAAGTGAGTCAGATTTGGAGACCAGAGCTTTAATCTTTTTCTGTCTTCTTGAATATTAGTTTTATAAATGCAAGTGTTGTAATAAGGAAATCATTGGTTTGTTTCCAATTCCTAGGTTTTGGATGGAATAGATTCATTGGAAAAACTAAGGAAAGCTGACTCACTTCCTTTTTAGGACATAAAAAAAATATTTAGTTGAGGGTGCCAAAATAATTGAAAAATTATAGCCATGATTTTGTTTTACTAGCTTCCTTGATTTAATGTATATTTTCTTTAAAGTTATTTAGTTAACTGTGTATGAATGTGGCCCTTTCTCCCAAATAATCAAAAGTGAAATGTTAAATATCATTGTTTTGAATTTAGATTTATGTATTGGACTGAGTGGGGTGGAAAACCTAAAATAGACAGAGCTGCCATGGACGGAAGTGAACGTACTACTTTAGTTCCAAACGTGGGGCGCGCAAATGGCCTAACTATTGATTATGCTAAAAGAAGGCTCTACTGGACAGACCTGGACACCAACTTAATAGAATCTTCAAATATGCTAGGTAAGTTCTACTTGTCTTTATTCAGACAGATAGTAGTATATAGTATAGTGTTCTTTCTAAGCAAAAATCAGAGAGGTTGCTATTACCATTGGTTAGACTCTTTTAATAGAATTTCACATAAATGTCTAGGTTCTTCCTCTGGATGGCATTGTATTCTGTTTATTGTTACTAATAGTGGGCTAGGTACTTGGATTCACATCTCTTTATTATGTGGAAGTTTCATTATTGTTGTGATTGTAATGGAATTTATAACTCCCTAGATATTCCTGAAGTGACTTTTTGTACCAGTAAAATACAATGTATGTATTTCCATCTTGTTATGGAAGGAAGAAGAAAAATTGAACTATAGACCCTTATGGAGAGAAAATAAGAGCACAATCAAAATAGACCATTCATGAGAGTTTAAACAAACTCAATGATTTATAGCAAGAATATAAATTTGAGGCATGGGGTCAGACTGCAGATGGGTTGATTTCAGAGGACTGGTCTGGTTTTAGAATTGGTTTTAAATGAATTGTTCTATTTTAAATTGCTTACAAATGTTTGTTTTATATGTTACAATTTGGGGGAAGGGGCAGCAAGACTCAAATTCTCACAAAATTCATCCCTCTGCTTTTCCCCTTTCTACTGCCTTTCCGAAAATAGGACTCAACCGTGAAGTTATAGCAGATGACTTGCCTCATCCTTTTGGCTTAACTCAGTACCAAGATTATATCTACTGGACGGACTGGAGCCGACGCAGCATTGAGCGTGCCAACAAAACTAGTGGCCAGAACCGCACCATCATCCAGGGCCACTTGGATTACGTGATGGACATCCTCGTGTTTCACTCCTCTCGGCAGGCTGGCTGGAATGAGTGTGCTTCCAGCAATGGGCACTGCTCCCACCTCTGCTTGGCTGTGCCAGTTGGAGGTTTTGTTTGTGGATGCCCTGCCCACTACTCTCTTAATGCTGACAACAGGACTTGTAGTGGTAAGCTGCATTTCTCCAAAGCAAACTAGAAGTAGAGGAGAAAGCAGGACTTTAAAAACACTGTGGTTCATGTTCTTTCTAGAGTAAAAAGTTGTAGAAGTCCAGAAATGGTCATTTGTTTAATAAAAGGGAAGGACTAGAGATAGAAAAATGCATGTTTTAGTTACTCTTTATTTGATGATAGCTAGTTGATATTATGGAATAATAGATGTTATAGAAAAATTAAATCTCTTATCCTTGAGTATTAAATATTTATTGCAAAATTTGCATAGCTTCATTGAGAGAGACAGTCATATGTGCTGTACATAATTCATATTTATTCATTGCCGTGGAAGGGAAGAACAGTACAACAAAAAGGATCTCCAAAATACAACCACCTTATCCTTTGAAGTCCATAGAATAGGCTAAAGATTAAAAATTTAAGTATATTAAAAAGGCCAGGTAGGAAATGCATATGAGTAAATTTAGTCCAGTATGAAACAGCAGTAAGTAGATGGGAAACTAGAGCACATGCTCTATACATAGTGGGCGGTTGCTATGTAATCCCAACTGACCAGATTTTCTTAGTCGTGAATCCAGATTTTATTTTATTTTTTTTACTACAGTATCTCCTGATTTTAAATGTTAACAGGTAGTGCATATTACACACACACACACACACTGCTAACAGCAACAAAACACAATGCATAACAAAATAGGTTGGCTTAGGGAAACCTAGTTTATGACTCAAGCATTCATGAAAATCCATGTTGGTGGATAGACCAGAACAAATTGCAGATATGATAAAGAAATAGAGAATTAGATCAGAAAGAGTAGATTCATGGGAGAGAAGTAGGATATGGTTCTCTAGGGTAGAGGGTACAAAATTGCTGTAGGATATTGAATGTAATTATTGAAATCACTTTACTCTGTGCCTGGAAGTATAAGACACCACATAGGAAAGGATTTAGTCTCTTCTGACACTAGGCTTCAGTCATGAAAAGGAACATAAGTTTATAGTTTAATGACTTGGGGTCTCTGCCACATTGGTTTTGTGTTTTACTAAAGCAAGTCACACAAATTTTTTGAACCTTAATTTTTCTTATTTGTAAAATGGGAATAATAATAGTAACTACTTGTAGGGTTGCTGTGAAAATTAAATAAGATATAACATGGTTGATTGCGTGGAGAATGGATTTGAGGAGGAAAAGAAGTGGTAAGGAAGTTAATTAGACTGGTGTAATGCCAGCAGACTTGGACTGGGGTGGTGGCATTATGGATGGAGAGAAGCTGATGGATTCAAGGTATGTCTTGAAGGTAGAATGAACAGACTTTGTTAATGGGTTGTATGTTGGGGAAGAAGAGGGAGGAAACAACAGTGACTTCTGGATTCTTGGTTTGATCAGTTAAGTAGATAGTAGATGAGGAAGTATAGAAAGGAAGGTTAGTTTTCAGGAAGAAATAAAAAATTTAACTTTAGGCAGGTTTATATTAATATTTCTATGGGGCATTGCAATAGAAATACTAAATAAGTTGGGTGAAGGAGCTCAGAGGAGAGAGATGAGGTTGGAGATAGAAATTTCGGAATTGCTAGCATGTATTTAAAATGGGGGAGATTACTTAGGGAGACGATACAGATCCGGTTCAGTAAACAATTCCTGTAAAGGGCCAGAGAGTAAGTATTTAGGCTTTGTGAGTGATATAGTTTCTCACATGTACTCAACTCTGTCTATTGTACCTTGACAGCAGTGATAGACAATACATTAAAATGTGACTGATAAACTTTATTACAAAAACAGGCAGCAGGCCAGATTTAGCTTGTGGGCCGTTGTTGCCAACTCCTGGTATAGAGAAAAGAAGGCATCTGGTAACTTAAGGAGCTGTGGTTGAGGAGGGAAAGCTTGTAGTGGACACTGAAGAGCAGCAGCCAGAGAGGTAAGAGGAAAATGAGAAGAGAATAGTGACATAGAAGATGAGACGTAAGATTGTTTCAAAAAAGAACTGTGTTGGATGCTGCTGAGAGACTGAGTAAGATGAGGCATAAAATAGTATCTTTTGGATTTTGGGATAAGGTGGTTTTACTCACCCAGGGAAATAATGGTGAAAGATTGGAGTAGATCAAAAAGGCATTGGAGCAGAAGAATGGGAGGTAGTATACATAGATGTCTTTTTCAAGAAGTTTGACTTTGAATGGAAGGAGAAAATGGTGGTAATAACTGATTGAGGATAGAGACCAGAAGAATATGGAAAGACTTTTTGAGATCATTATCATGACTGCATATTAGTTGGTGAAGGCCATGAGAAGTCAGTGCTCAGTGTCCCTAAAATCTGTGTTTGGCAACCTTTCCAAGAGATATCAGCAGTGCTTCAGGAAGCCTCCTGCTGTGTGCTCTTTTGATAGTGAGTACTTAATATTTGTGTAGAGCTAAGATGTATTAGATTTTAAGGCAGATTACAAGGAAAGTTTAACACAAAGTACTTGCCCTTAAAAAGTTTTCTAACATTGTATAATTTACTCCTTGACCTAGGTTTCAAAAGTTAAATCAGATGGTGGTGTTTCTCTGCTCAAAACCTCACAATGGCTCCTCATTTCACACAGAGTAAAAACCTAATCTTATAATGGCCTACAAGTTCCTACATGGTCTCTACCCCACACTTGGCATCTTCCTCTTTTGCTTCTCTAACCTCAGCTTTTACTATTGTGTTTCTTGCTCTCTCCATGAGAGCCGTACTAGCCTTAGGACTGTTTCACTGCTTATTTCCTCTGCTTGGAATGTTCTTCCTGCAAATATGTGCACGGGTATACTTCACCTCCAAGTTTTTGCTTATTGTGACCTTCACCAGGAGACCTGGTCTACCCTATTTAAAATTTGCAAATCATCATTTCACTCTATCTAGCGTTGCCTGTGCCCCTTACCTGTACTTTTTTTCTTTTTCCCATAACACTTAGTCTGTGATACACTATATAACTCACACTATTATTTATATACTAACTTCTTTATGTTTACTGCTATTGCCTATTGGAATATAAACTACACAAAGTCTCCCATGTTTTTTCATTGATATATCTCATGTGCCTAGAATAGTGCTTGGTGAAAAGTAGTCATTCAAGAAATCTTAAATGAAAGAATGCTAAAACAGGACAGGATTTGGAAAAACACATGAACTCTTCCATACAACAGCTTTGTGACCTTGGAAAAATTGCTTAACCTTTTGAGGCTTCCTTTAAAAATTACTTAACCTTTCCAAGTTTGCTCACCTCTAAAACAGAGATGATAATTTCAGGGATTAAGTAATATCTAATATGATGTGTGACATGTTGGAGGTTCTAAATGTTCGTTTGGTTTCCTTCCCAAGTCTCTAAAATAATTTTTTATTTTCTTTCAAAATCATGACTACACAGCTCTTCTTAGTTATCATCATCTAGTGCTTGTTTCTTCGTTTTTTTATTCATTCTTTCAGTGAATATTTACTGAATATGTATGTACATGCTGGGCATTATTTGAGACAGTGGAGAATGTAGCAGTGAACAACATAGACATCAGTCCCTGCTCTCATGGAGCTTTCACTCCACTGGCACAGATGACAAACCAATTAAGTAAACTATATAATGGGTTAGATGGTGATACATGTTATGGAGAAACATTAAGTGCGAGAAAGGGTGGAAAGGATTGCAGTGTTAAATAGGGTGATTAGAGAAGTCACTGCTGAGAAAGTGAAATATTTCATGACCTGAAGGAGGTGAAGAAATGAGATATGTGGATTTCTGGGGGAAGACCTGTCAAGCAAACGGGGGCTGCAAATGCAAAGGTCTGGGGGGAATATACATGTCACATGTTAGAGGAGCATACTTGGGAGGCCAGCGTTGTTGGAACAGAGTGAATAAATAGATTAAGTCAGAGGAAACAGGAAACCAAATTGTGTAATCCCTTGTTCAGTACTGAAGTAGCTTGCTTCTGTGGCACCTTTGTACAAATTGGGAAAAGGTATTTCCTCTGGGCAGATGCAGCTGTTCAGATGCATGGCTTGGGTAATGAAGTATGGATTGGACTTCAGTCCCAACTCCATACCTTTGGTACAGTGCTCATACGGCACAGTCAGACGTGGTGGACTGGGCCTTGGAGATTATGCTGTTTCCACGCAAGTGCAATGCCTCACTTTAAGCTACAGATGGACACTTGTACCTTCAACAGAGAGCTAAAAAGCTCCCTCCTCCTTACACCTCATCCTCCAGCTTCTGCATGTGGCTCTTCTCATTGTGGGAATGTAAAACTGAAGACAGCCTGGCAGGACAATTTTTAAAGCACTACTCCCCAGGAGATGAGGTGGTTAGAGTTTACATAGTTTAGGATGGATTTAGGCTTACAAAAAAGCATATTCTTTGTTACTTTAAGCACTGAACGATTTGTAAATATGTGAAAACATCAGCTTCCTCTTAGAAATATTAAGCCAATTAATTGTAACTGCTAATGTGATCTATAGACTTTTTGAAACAAGAATTTATTTGGAGCCATGTTTGGCTTTGTCTTAATCTACATTTCTAGAACACCTAGAATTGTAGAATCTTATTGGAGGTTAAAACTTGATTAAAAAAAATAGTACTCAATAAAACATACTAAGAGCCAAGTATATATTTGATATTGCTCCCCAGTCAGGAAAAGTTGGCAACTAAAATTCTGGGATCTTTCTTCTAAGTCTCATTGTATGTGTTTGTATTGGTGGTGCTTATTGCGTTGGAAACTTACCATTTAGAACCTTTTTTTCTTCTTCTTGCTTTACAAGCAAATAGTAATGCTAAAAAACAATTCTTAAAAAAAAAAAAAGGATGGGATACTTGTGAGCTACATTGCTGTGACATGTATTCTTACTACTTAACACATGAGTTCTACTAAAATTGCTAAAAGTTGTTAAATCAATATGTGGTGGACTCCAGATAATGGAGAGCTCCATTGGGATCACTGGAATATTTTGTAAATCTTCCAAGCTAAGTGTGAGCTTTTATGTATTTGTCAAATGCTTCATTGAACTCAAGTCTCTCATGATACCACTGTAAATAATATAGAAAAAAATAGGCGACGTGCATTGAGTAAATTCATAACTGGTTTGGTAACCAGAGTGCTGATTAGTGTCACTTTGAAGAAGGTTTCGGGGGGGGAGGGGCATACCAAAGGGTTTTGTCCTCAGTCTTACCTTGTTCTACTTCTTCAACATCTATGTATGCTTTGTGTGAGATATAGCTACAGGTTGATCAAATCTTTGAGTAATACAGGACTTAGTCTGTGTTTCAGATGTGCTCTTTTCTTTCTTTAAGCTCCAACTACTTTCCTGCTCTTCAGTCAGAAGAGCGCCATCAACCGCATGGTAATTGATGAACAACAGAGCCCCGACATTATCCTTCCTATCCACAGCCTTCGGAACGTCCGGGCTATTGACTATGACCCACTGGACAAGCAACTATATTGGATTGATTCACGACAAAACATGATCCGAAAGGCGCAAGAAGATGGCAGCCAGGTAACTCAAGGCTCAGTGCAAAATCCATTCTTTCTACCTAGTAATTGGACTAACCAGTCATCCTGTTTTATTTAAGTGTTGATTCTGCACATGCGTGCGTGTGTGTGCAAAACTGAAATTCTGGACTGAGCAGCTTTTTTCCCTTCTAACCTTTAAGTATACAATTATTTGATAATGCTATTGGAATGAAAATTGTATTTAGATAACTTAGTCTCAGATATTGGTAATGACTTAGTCACTGCCACCCATATTCATTTATATAGATTTTTTTTGTTATGGTTCCATCTACATGGAGTGTTGGAAGCTTCGAAATCAAATAGACCTTGGTTCTGATCTCAGGTCTATTACTCATTAGGATTTTTATGAGCTCTTTAGCTGAATGGAATGTAAAGCACACAGCCCATTACCTATTACATGATAGGGACTTAGTAAAAAATGGTTCTGTTACTAGTTGACTATTACTTAAAAGGGTCAAAGGATAGGAACAATACAACCCCAATAAAATAAAAAACATCTAGGATATGTTACTAATCCAGTGATTTAAAAAAAAAAAAAAAAAAAATTTGGTTACTATGGGATGGGAATGAAAACATTATCAACAGATCTTACCTATGCTTACATACTAGTCATGGTTTATGTACCATTATCCATACTTCTTTGCTTTCTTTTTATGATCAAGCTGTATTGGACTGGGGTTACTGTTAAGAATTATTTGTCATCTTCCTCATAGCAGTGCTGTTAAGCTTGATTTTGAATGTGTTAAAATAAGGGAAATTAGATTACTAATTTTCTATATGTCTTACCTCACACAAAAGAGCAAGGGGATATGATGTATTTAGGGCTGCTGAGGGATCATTTAGGGGTATAGTTGTAGTGGTATATTGCAGATGCACCTTACTCTCTGTAGACCAGAACTAACAGGCTGATAGAAATTACAGCTGTTATTATACAGCCAAAGACACAGCAAATAAATGAGATAGCCTCATAAGAAATATGTTACCTCAGTGATGTTGAGTAAATAAAATATAATTTATTCAGATAGACAAGTGAACAAAGAATCTCTTTTTGCTTGGCTTTGTTAAAAATATTTTTTGGGATGGATTTAAGGATTAGAGACAGACATAATTGGTAGATGTGGTTTATAGCCCTAATTGCTGTTGTCTCTAGAGTAGAGTTTGTCGGCTTCAGCACTATTGACATTTTGGGGCTGGATAACTCTTTTTGTGGAGGACTGACCTATACATTGTAGGCTGTTTAGCAGCATCACTGGCCTCTACCCACTAGATGCCAATTATACCTCCCATAGGGGTGATAATCAGAAATGTCTCCAAACATTGCCAAATGCCCTGGTTTAGGCATGTGCAAATGCAGAATTGCCCCTTGTTGAGAACCATTGCTTTAGAGGTATTTCGGGTGTGGTTCTAGCCAGGGTTGTCTGTCAGAGAGAGCTGTCTCTTTCTCATGTTTATCTCTAATCAGTGCACTACCAGGTTCTTAGAGTAACTAATGTGGCCTTAGCTCACTCTTCTGCCCTGTGTCATAATAACCAGAGGGAACATTTGAAATGCATGTTAATAAAGAATCATATTACTCATAAAAAATGTATCAGTAAGAAATATCCCTTGAGACTTCCTTAGATGAGTGACCACATAAATGTAAGCATTGTGAGTGATCGCCTCAGGGCTATCTGGTTTGGAGTCTAATTTTCTATGTGTGTGTCTTTTTCTTTCACTAGGGCTTTACTGTGGTTGTGAGCTCAGTTTCGAATCAGAATCTAGAAATACAACCCTATGACCTCAGCATTGATATTTATAGCCGCTACATCTACTGGACTTGTGAGGCCTCCAACGTCATTACTGTAACAAGATTAGATGGGAGATCAATTGGAGTGGTGCTGAAAGGCGAGCAAGACAGACCTCGAGCCATTGTGGTAAACCCAGAGAAAGGGTATGTCACTAAAGTACCATTCATGTGTCTTGGCATCTGAGATCCTCGTCAGCCTTCCTTTTCAGCCCTTAGTTATTTACCTTTCTGTTCCAATGAAAAACGATATTCTCCATCCACCTGCCCCTGCATTTTCTTGCTTTCTCTGATTTTACTGCCTATAATTACCTTTCTTAGTCACTATTTCCTTTTTCTTTTCTTTTTTTTAAAATAGATCTTTATTATTGATTTCAGGGAGAGGGAGAGAGAGAGATAGAAACATCAATGATGAGAGAGTCATTATCGATCTTCTGCCTCCTGCACATCCCTGACTGCGGATCGAGCCCACAACCCTGGGCATGTGCCCTGACCAGGAATTGAACCTCGATCTCTTGGATCCTAGGTCAATGCTCAACCGCTGAGCCACCCCCAGCCAGGCAGTCACTATTTCTTTCATTCTAATTTCTGCCCTTACTTCCTGGACCATTTGAACTGCAACATCATCCATGAAGTTTTCTTTGATGTACTCCACCCCCAGCCAGATGTGATTTTCCCCTTTCCCAGATGCCCAGCACTCTATTATATCTGTGCCTCTCTAGTCATACCTAGTCCTTTCCAACTGACCTTACGACTTCTCTTTTCAGTCTTATATTTCCTACTATAATGTAGGTTCCTTTATGCCAAGAACTAATGTGTCTTCTTTCATTTAATACAGAGCTTTGCATTTAATAAATAATATGTTTTTGCATCTGAATGAATGATAAGGAATTCAGCAGGGAAAGTAGCTTATTTCAAAAGTTACAGGAAATAGAATATAAATATAAGAAATTATTCTTATGACCTATTTTTACTTATGAAATGGACTAATTAGGGAAGGAATTTAAAATTTTGTGTCCAGGTTTCTGGTTACTGCTCTTTATTTTATTGTAGTATTTCAATAGTATAGGTGCACTTATCTCTAACACTTTGTTTTATTAATCCATGAAAGTTAGCTCCCTCAGAAATTGTGTGTGTCCTTTGTTACTATTACTAAAAGTAATAGTAACACAATGCTTACATTTATGTGGCCTTTTAAAAAATATTCTGAAACATTTCAAAATAAGATTTTAAAATATTCTGCCCTTTTTTTGTTTTAATCAGTAACAGTATTCTCATTTTGTATGGTTTCTTATTTTGGTAAATATTGTTTCCTCCCTTCTCTTCAGGTATATGTATTTCACCAATCTTCAGGAAAGGTCTCCAAAAATTGAACGAGCTGCTTTGGACGGAACAGAACGGGAGGTTCTCTTTTTCAGTGGCTTAAGCAAACCAATTGCTTTAGCCCTTGATAGCAGATTGGGCAAACTCTTTTGGGCGGATTCAGATCTCCGGCGAATTGAAAGCAGTGATCTTTCAGGTACCCAAGAAATATGTTTCCATATTTTGATTTCAGTTAGTGAGATGATTCAGCAGTAGCATTTGTATTTTTCTTCCATTGTATTATTTTTGTATACATTTTTTTTACAGTTTTACTCACCAAGAGTAGTCAGTGTCAAGTTGGTTGGAAAGCATTGTTTTCTTCAACCATCAATGTGATTACTCCCTCTGTTATCTAATAACTTGCCAGTATTTTTCATTTTTGCTCTGTAAGTAATATATTTCTAATGCATCTCTTTTCCTTTCCTAATTCTTCCTCTCTAGTTTATGTTCTTATCATCTCTGTTCTGAATTCTAACCCTGCTGATCTCCCCCCACTGAAAGTTTATACAGTATTCCTAAATTAATTTCCTGAAACATAGTTTCTAATCATGTCACTACTGTATTAAAAAAGAGTCTTCAAGGTAGTCTCATAGCCTGAAGGAAAAGAGTCTAGCTGTGCATTAAGTTGGTATTCACCTTTCATAATCTTGTCAGCACGCTCAAATGATCTTGACATTCCTGGTGTTTTTTGACTAAATAAAATCATTTGTTGGTCTTCAGATGGACTTTTACTTTCTTATTTCGCTGTAGTCCTCTGTCTGCACTCATAGTTACTTCTCCTCCCCATAAATGTTCTGTATGGCTTTACTAGTGACCATGAAAATGAAATTAAATAATATACTACTTATGCCTATCAGAGTGGCAGAAATATGTTAAAGTTGATTATACCTAACCTTGGCAAGAATAGCAGAAAATGGCATGCTTTCATGCACTTTGGTAGAAGTGGAAATTGGTAGAACCTTTTGGAGGGCAATTTGCCAGTAAATTTTCCATTTAGATAGCTGTTTATAGAAATACAAGGATATTTGATAAGCATTATTTGTAATAGCCTATTACAGAGAAATAAATTCTATATCAAGTGTGTGGAATATTATACTCATTCCAACAAATGAGTCGGATCTGTGTGCAATAACATGGAAGAATGATTTTTAAAAATTAAGTTGTTTATTAAGATATAACTTTGTTGCCCTAGCCGGTGTTGCTCAGTGGTTAGTCACCCCTTGTAATTCCACTACTGTTTTTAGCCATAGAAACTTGTTCAGACATATGCACAAGAATATTCACTGCAGTGTGCTGCTTTTAATGGCAAAAAATTGGAAATAGCAGTACTTCAATTTGACTGGGTTTGCTTTGGATTTATAAGTCAATTTAGGGAGAATTATAATCTTTGTAATATTAGTCTTTCAAACCATGAACGTTAGTATATTCCTCCATTTATTTGGAACTTTAATTTCTGTCAATGTTTATTATTGTTTTCTGTGTAGAGGTCTTCCCCATCTTTTATTAGAGTTATTTTTTGGAATTTGATGCTTTTGAATGCTAGTGGTAAAGAGTATTCTAAACTTTTAAGATTTTACTTTCTGATTATAGGTGGAATATACAAATACAGTTCATCTGTTCCCCTTAGCCCCCACCTCGCTATAATGAGCTTGTTTCCAGACTCCTTGTTACAGTTTCTTTAGAATTTTCTATATTACAGAATCATTTGTCTACAAATAATGAGTTTTATTTCTTATTTTCCGGTCCTTTTTCCTTGTTGCCTTATTACACTGGCTGGGACCCCCAATACAACGTCGATTGTAATAATAATAGAAGCCTTGGGATTTTTTTGCTTTGTTTTCTTGATTTGGGAGAAAGCATTTAATACTTTGTAATTAGGTATTATGTTTGCTAAGGTTTTCTGTTGATACCTTTTTTAAAAAAATCAGATTAAGAAAGTTCCTTTCTGTTCCTAGTTTGCTAGAATAAACCAAATTTGGCATGATACAGTATCTTTATATATACATATATATATTGCTAGATTTGATATGCTAATGTTTAAGGTGTTTGCATCTGTGTTCATGAGAAAGATTACCCTATAATTTTTTCTTATAATGTACTTGGAGTTTTGCTATCAAGGTTACATTGCCTCATAAAAATGTTTCCCCTTTTTCTGTTTTCTGAAAAAGGTTGGTGTAATATTGGCAGTTCCTCCCCCTCCCCCCCCCCGTTCCTTATATAGTCACTGATAATCATATATTTTTATCATAGGGTCTTTTTCTACTTAATAGTTTAGCCTCCCACAGAACTTTTTATACTGGATTGCACTTATACATGCTTTGTTTGTTGAATAAATAAGTATGTCTTTACATTGTTGGCCCCTAGTGTTTTACTTATACTCCTTTTATCTGTCATCAACGTATATCAGGTCCTTATCATGTCTTGGGTCTTGCAGTGACACTGTCTTTTTCTCTCATTGTCCACTTGAGACCATTCTTTTACCACCACCAATTAATCTTTTTAAATAACATTTATAATCACTGTTTTAAATTTAATTTTAATCAAAATAATACATGTAAATATTTATGGAAATAAAATGGTTCTACTTGGCTTACTACAAAAAACAGGTCTGCTCTACTCCTTCCCACTCTCACTCCCACTCTCAGAGGCATTTTCAGTTATCTTAAAATAACTTGCTTAAAACTGCTATTCCTTGGTTTTTCAGTTTTATCCATTGCAAGTTGACTTCCTTTGATGGAGGGTAAAGACTTTGCTATCTTAAGCCATATAGCCCCCAAACACGCACATAGCTCTCCTCCCATCCTCCCGGCATAGTTATAGCATACATTTTAGGTTTATACGTAATTATTTGTTGTTTATGGCTTTTTTCCTCCCTGAAGTAAATCTTGTCTAATGTAAATATTATTTCAGTACATACAGATGCATCATACAATCCATCTTTTTTTATTTTTAATTGAAAGCATACTCCCGAATTTCTTTATTATCTTGCTCCAGTCTGGATTTGCTTGCTTTCTAGGCCAACTTCCTTTCACTATTATCCAGGAAATGTAATTGCCAGCTTTCTTGGTGCTGTACCTACTGTTTTCTGGATTCCATTTCTCTGGTTAATTCCTTTTTCTTGATAGAACATATGGGAGTTTAAAATTCTTGTACTGCCCGGCTGGGTGTGGTTCAGCGGTTGAGCATCAACCTAGGATCCGGGCAATCGGGGTTCGATTCCCGGTCAGGGCACATGCCCGGTTGCGGGCTCGATCAATGACCCTCTCATCATTGATGTTTCTCTCTCTCTTTCCCCCTCTCCTTTCCTCTCTCTGAAATCAATAAAAGATATATTTTAAAAAATAAAATAAAATAAAATTCTTGTACTTATTTGTCTTTTTTCCCTCGTCGCACTTGGTTGACATTTTGAGTGTGTGTAGGATTCATGTTTCATTTCTCTTTTCTCTCAGAATTTTGAAGGCAAAACTCCATTGATTTCAAGCATCTCATGTCATTGGGAAGTTTGATATTCTGATTCCTGACTTTATATGTGATCCTTTATTTTCGTCTTCAGAAGCTTTTATTGTTCTCTCTTTCCCTCAGTGTTTTAGAACCTGATGATAATGTGCCTTTGGGTGATGCTTCCCCTGCTCCCCTCTTTTCTTCGTTTTCTTCTTTCATTGAACTGGTTATTAGGTGAGTCCTTTCTATCTGGAGACTTAAGACCTTGAGTTCTGGAGAGTTGGCCTTGGGGACAGGCTCAAGGGGTTTGCCGGGGTGAACTGCCGCTGCCCATCGCTGCCCCGGTTGCAAGCCTCGTGGGGTCCCTTAGAGTTTAGGAGATGCATCGTCTGTGCACTAAGAAGTTGCTGGATCAATTCCCTGCCAGGGCACATATCCTAGTTGCAGGCTCGATCCCCAGTAGGGGGCATGCAGGAGGCAACCAATGGATGTTTCTCTCCCTCTCCCTTATTCTCTCTCTCAAATCAATAAAAAGATACTTTTAAAAAAAAGAGTAGATGTTTTCTTTAAGTATCTGGTGATTATTAGTTTGTTTATATTTAATAGTAGGCACTAAAAATGCTGAGTTTCATGTTGCTGCTGCTTGTGAAGTGGTAGGATTATTAGAGAGACTTGCCTGTTTTCTAATGGGACTCCCAGGTGACACTCTGAGGTTCTTTTATTTTGGATACTTCGGGTTTTTGCTTGGCTGTTGGTGGTGGTTTTTTTCTTCCTGCAGGGAAGCCTTCTAGTCTTCTCCAGGAGGATACAAGCTAGGTGCTCGTGTTTTTCAAGTGTAGTGGGAAAGGGTGTTGTTGGGCAGAGTCTCACCAATTACCAAGTAAACTTGAACAATTCCCAGGTAAAATCCTACATATGGCACAACCTCTTTGTCTTTGCCTGGTATATTAAAGTCTAGTTTAACATCTTTAGGGGGCATATCTTCAGTCTTCTGCTGGAGGAAGGGAGTAGATCCAGGAGCTTCCTTACTTCTCTTTCACCCTTAGCCACATAGTCCTCCCTTTGCTCCATCCAGAAATACCTGGGGCTTCTAGTCCGTGAGCTCACTGATTTTGCTGTCAGCTTCACTAACTGCAGGCATTTAGCTTTCTCTGGGCTACTGTGTTACTATCTCTGGTCTGTCTATTTTCCAACTTCTAAATTTTATGTTACTTTGCTCTTCTGTCTTATTTGTCATTATGGGCTTAATACTTTAAATTTTTACTGCCATTTTAGTAGATTTTTAGGAGGGAGCATAAGTAAACTTATGTTTAACCCACCATCGATCTAAATGTTGACTTAGGCAGTGCATTTTCTTCTCGACTATCTCCCCACTTTTCTCTATTTATTAAAGTTTAGCTTTATGCTTCCTCGTTTTCTGGAACTTTCCCTGATATTTTCAGAGTATAAGCTAATGACTTTTTTATTTCACCTCATCACTTAGGAACCATGAAGATATTCTATAGCTATTTGAAAGACTGTTAGGAGGAAGAGGAAAGGAATGAACATATTTTTTCTTTTTAAGTGAGCGGGAAGCTACAGGGGCGGGGGGGCAGATTTCATCACTCTGTAAGAACTTTCCCACAGTTCAGCAGCAGAATAGGCTGCTTCTTCAGAGTCTGAATGACTCTGTGCTATATGTTCAGAAAGAATTATTCCTGTCCGGCCGGGTGTGGCTCAGCGGTTGAGCATCGACCAAGGATCCAGGCGATCGGGATTCGATTCCTGGTCAGGGCACATGCCCGGGTTGCGGGGTTGATCAGTGTACTCTCTCATCATTGATGTTTCTGTCTCTCTCTCCCTCTCCTTTTCTCTCTCTGAGATCAATAAAGATATATTAAAAAAAAAAAAAAAAAGAATTATTTCTCTGAGCTGAGGCTTGGACCGAGGAACCTTTGAGTTGGTCCTTCTTCTGTGTCCTGAGGGGGGAGGGTGAAGTTCACAGGTGCCTAGGTGGCCAAGGGCCAAGGGCCGGGCTCACCACCCCTGCCTCATCCAGGGAAGTACCATTTCGATCTGTTTTTATATGTTAGAGCTTTTCAAAAAATTTAATTTGAAAAATTGACTCAGCTTTAAAAAGCATTTGAAAACTGCTCTAAGTTCTTGTCTACATTTCTATGAATTAGAATATTTACTATGTATCGGGCACTTATCCGCTCTTGATTGCACTTGAATGTCTAGTCTGTTATCTATTTTCTGGTATGTGTATATCTTTTCTTCAAAGAATGATTGAAGTTTTGTGGTAGAGAGTTTATATTTTCCTTTTCAGAACTTTTAGAATCTGATTTTTTCAATAAATAATTGTAGAACATATGACTTGACCCTCATGAATCATTTTCTGGTGAATGTTCTTTCCAAGGTGCCAACCGGATAGTATTAGAAGACTCCAATATCTTGCAGCCTGTGGGACTGACTGTGTTTGAAAATTGGCTCTATTGGATTGATAAGCAGCAGCAAATGATCGAAAAAATTGACATGACAGGTCGAGAGGGAAGAACGAAAGTCCAGGCTCGAATTGCCCAGCTTAGTGACATTCATGCTGTAAAGGAGCTGAACCTTCAGGAATATAGTAAGTGCTGATGGCATGCTGCTAATTGTAGGATTTGTGTTTGTTGTAAGAAGTTAAGATAAATTTAAAATGTTCTTTTGTGTCTTAACCACTTTATCTTGAACATTTTCATGTACTTTTTAGTTTTGCCTCTTTTTTTTTTTTTAATTCCATACTTTTAAAGCCTTATGTTAAACTCACCTGGGAGCTTTTTCAGTCTTAATCTTTTCCCCATAAAACAGGAGTGAGGGAAAGGAATTGCTCATTTTCAAAAATTTTCCCAGGTACAACAAAGGCTCTGCTTGTCGTGCCTTCTCTCTATCTTCAGCCCCTTTAAGAATACTGGTATAAAGCATTTATTTCTTTTGTTCCCTGTACACCCATAGTTCAAACAAAAGCAAAAATTACATTTATATAATGATGAGTATAGTTATCATGGAATAACTTTATTCTTGAGCAAAAGCAAAACAAACTAAAAATCAGTATGTAAACTTAAAGAATACTGTGCTTTAATAAGTGTTTGTTTTCCCCCCTCTTGAATATAGTTTTCAGTTTTCATCTTAGAAAAGTAGCCATAAATATTATTTTTATCTTACTGAAAACTTTTGAAAATGGCTGATCATCTTAGCTTAGTTTCTTGTTAATAGGTGTCTATAATCAAAAGTACCCTCATAGCAATAGGTACTATAGGTCTTATGTTAGTACCAGGGATGCTGATGTTACGCGGAGGACTGAAGAGAGAACCGTTGGAACTCCTTCTCAGTGCAGTACTTTTAAATCAAATTGGAATATGAAAGGAAAACAGAGGAATGAGACCACTATTTCTTGTTCAAGTCTTCATTATGTTGTCACTGTTTACGAACTTAGAAGTTAAGTTTAGAGGTATTTAAGAATTAGAAAGTTAGAATTGTTGCCATTCTATGTTTTGACATGTAACTCATGCTGAACATTTAATAGGAATAAGGCAATAATGACACAGTGCCTGAGTTATTTATTCAGTTGATATAAGATCTCAGTTGAGGTTTTCAGAATTTCAGGGAGGGATTTTTTTTTTTAATAATTCAACATTTAAGTATGGTTTTATATTTAGAAAAACATTTTTTCAAATTTCTAATAACATTAAAGAGAATGAGATTTTTGTTTATCAAAAGTGTCATGGAATTAAAGGTTGAGAAACAACGCCTTATAGTTTGTGTATCCTAATCTAATGACTGATACCTATTTTGAGACATGGATGGATGTCATGTAGCACAGTTGCTCATTAGTAGATAGCTGACTCCCTCAATCTCATTAGCACACACCAAGGCAAGACTGATGTGTTAGTGAAAAGTCAGATAATAAATGGGTGTCTACATCAGATGTTGGTATTCTGTGATGACAAATGTCGAGTTGCTTTTAATACAAGCTAAGTAGAAAGTTCATAACAATGATTTCATTAAGTACAACCTGTGGGACAGACTTTGAATAGTTGCCAGATGGTGTATTTATTTAATTTAACCCAAATATGAGGAAATTAAACATTTGTAACATTGCAGGGTATCTTTTTTTTTTTTTTTTCCTCTCAATTGATTTGAGAGAGAGAAAGAAACATCAGTGAGAGAGAGACATTGATCAACTGCCTCCTGCATACCCCCCTACTGGGGATTGAACCGCAACCCTGGCATGTGCTCTGACTGGGAATCAAAACCTTTTGGAACATGGGACAATGCCCAACCAACTGTGCCACGCTGGCCAGGGCACATTGCAGGTTATCTTTTTCAGTGACCTAGTACTTTTGATTGTTTCTGATTGGTTGAGTTCCATGTGAACTTAAGCTTTTTCTTATAACAACTCTAATTTCAGTGGCTCTTTATTAAAATGTACTCTTTGAGTAAAATCATCTTTTAGAAAGGTGAAATTTCTGAGTTAAAATCTATAGTTTTGAAGAGTTTTTGTATATTAAAAAGAATAATATCCAGGTCTCAGCATTCTCTCTACAATTTTTTTTAGTTTCAATAATCAGCTTTTCTTATTCACAAAATTAACATGAGCTGTATCATTACTTTGCTTAAAATACTTTAACATATTTTATATATAAATATGTAAAGACAGTGTTTTGTGTTTTTAAACCATTGTCCTCATTTTCTTGTAGATTGTGTAGGTATGGAGCAAGGAATTATATATGTGTGGAAATAAAGTCCAAAGTGATTTTACATTTGGTTTTCTTGGTAATTCATAAATGATTGATTTTGATTGGGCTATCCTCCCTCCTTTCCTCTCTTTCTTCTTTCCTTTTTTTATTTTTTATTTTGCAGGACAGCACCCTTGTGCACAGGATAATGGTGGCTGTTCACATATTTGTCTTGTAAAAGGAGATGGTACAACAAGGTGCTCTTGCCCCATGCACTTGGTTCTGCTTCAAGATGAGCTATCATGTGGAGGTAAATATGTTATTGTTTTCCTGTGCAGGTCTAAATGCCAGTTAACATGTTCTGTAACTTAATTCAACTGAAGGAGAAAGACTGTTCTCTACAGTGACAGAAATTTAAAAATAATCAGATTTCTAATGATAGGAAAATTATTAGGTAACTGAATTTATATAGCTATTAAACATTATGATTATAAGCTGATGTAAAAATGTAGCCCCAAAAACTCAGTGTTTTCTACTATATAAGCTATATAACATACATATTTCTGTGAACAAAGATTGAAAGGGCTTATACACTCAAAAAAAAAAAAATCATTGAGAAGATGGTATTAGAATATTCTAACTTTCCTAGTTTTTTAAAAAATGAATAACACGTATTAAGTAGCAGCTGTGAGGCATTCTACTTGCACTGCAAGCAATTTGGAGATCAGCTATATAGTGGAGTGTATCAGTTTTTTCTTTGTTATTTCTTCTTTGATTAGATGAGATGGATTACAAATTTAATCTATTATAAAGTGTTTTGTATATGTTAATTATTAAATGAGCTTCACTCAGGTGTGTTTACCTCTGTGTGACAATTATTTTGTTTTTGTCACTCCCCTCCCCCTTGTTCATTGAAGAACCCCCAACGTGTTCTCCTCAGCAGTTTACTTGTTTCACGGGAGAGATTGACTGTATCCCTGTGGCTTGGCGGTGCGACGGGTTTACTGAGTGTGAAGACCATAGTGATGAGCTCAATTGTCCTGTATGCTCAGAGTCCCAGTTCCAGTGTGCCAGTGGGCAGTGTATTGATGGTGCCCTCAGATGCAACGGAGATGCAAACTGCCAGGATAAATCAGATGAGAAGAACTGTGAAGGTATCTAAAAAGTTTAAGACCCAGTTATATAGTCCTTTTTCCAAGTGATTTGCAATTCAGAGTGGAGTGTCACTTTGGCTCAGTGGTAGATTTGGGGTTTTCAAGAATACATTTGACTTTATTATGTCTAAACATAGTAACATGTTCCAAATTGTTTTAATTCACTTAATATGCATTTTTGTACACATTAATAAGCTTAGCAGAGGAATGAGTCCAAAAGAACATTATGTAAGAATAGTACTTGTTCCTGGCGAACTCTGAATTAGTGAATTCATTTATTTCAATGTAAAATAATTTCATTACTCTCTTTCCTCCACTAACCTTTAACATGGTATAAAACAAAAAACAATTAAAAAAAATTTTTTTAGTGTCTAGAAATGCATGTAGAATTCTTTAATACTTAACAGAATTAATAGTGAATGATGAAATTTAACATAAAGAACAACATAGGAAATTTCCTGCTGGATTGCCTTTTCCCTCTACTTGTGAAAATCCCCTGAGAATAATTTTTAAGATATATCTACAAGCCTAATTTGTTTTCATTTACACCCGCAAAAGTACTTTTTGACTTGCTCTAGTATTTGGTTTTACAGTATAGTAAAAAATAAGAAAACTATTTGCCTCTTTTCCCAGTGCTTTGTTTAATTGATCAGTTCCGCTGTGCCAATGGTCAGTGCATTGGGAAACATAAGAAATGTGATCATAATGTGGATTGCAGTGACAAATCAGATGAGCTGGATTGTTGTAAGTAGGACTAAAGCCTGTATATTACTCTTAAGGGAGAATTTTTAAATATGTTTTCCTTTTATTTATGTGTGAGGTTTGCTTATACTCACTATTTCCTTATTCAGAAACAAGTATTAATGGTAAGCTAGGGATTGTTTATGTTTGCTTTGAATAATTCCTTAAAAGACAGCAATCTTTTGCACAAAAATCTTCACAGAAACATTTAGTAAAAGCATCAGAAAAGAATAAATATTGTTTTGCCACAACAAAAGTTAAGAAATTCTGAAACAATTTACAGGCATACCGTGTAGATAGTGTGGGTTCAGTTCCAGATCACTGCACTAGAGCGAATATTGCAGTAAAGAGTCAAACTAATTTTTTGGTTTAGAGTGCATATAAAAGTTTGTTTACACTATAATGTAGTCTATTAAGTGTGCAATAACATTATGTTTTAAAAAACAATGTACACACCTTAATTAAATAGACTATTGCTAAAAAATGCTAACCATCATCTGAACTTATTGGGAAAATGGCACCAATAGACTTTTTTGTCAGAGGGTTGCAAGAAACCTTCAATTTGTAAAAAACAAAATCTGTGAAGCACAATAAAGTGAAATGTACTAAAACGAGATATGCTTGTAGATGTGGAACTCAATCAGCAGCCTAAGCTTAAGAGTTTCTAAACATTAGTTCATGTTTCATATCTCCCATCTTTTTCTTGACATGATTCCACCAGTTTCTCAGTGACTTTAAGCGCTTCCTTGCCCTGGCTGATTAGCTCAGTTAGTTACAGTGTCATCCCGATACACCAAGGTTGTGAATTCAGTCACCTATCAGGGCATGTACAAATATCAATGAATGAATGAATGCATAAATAAGTGGAACAACAAATCAATGCATCTGTCTCTTTCTCTCTCTCATATCAATAATAATAAAAAAAAGAGTGCCCTGGCCAGTGTTACTCGGTTGGATGTTGTCCTATGTGCCAGGAGGTTGCTGGTTTGATTCCTGGTTAAGTGCACATGTCTGGGTTGTGGGCTTGGTCCATGGTAGGGGCCATGCAGGAGGCAGTTGATTGATGTTGCGCTCTCTCATTGATATTTCTCTCCCTTCCTCTCTCTCTGAAAAGCAATAAAAACCTATTTTTTTTAAAAAGACAGTAAAAATAAAAATAAAAAGAGCTTCCTTAAAATGCAGCCTAAGGACACTTGTGCCAACATATATACCTGTAGGCCTAGAGATCATAGGCTGAATAGACTATAGTTTCTTCAAGTTCATAACTATTGACCAGTGCCCTAACATATAATATATCCCAAACTGGTTAACTTAGTTCTTAATGGAATTCGGCATAAGTCAGGTCTGCCCTGTCAAAACTGGTTTAATGGAATTTAGATAGAACTCATTTTAAAACTCTTTAACCTTAATAAAGACTTTTAAGCTGACATTTTTACAAATTCATATGGGATACTCACTAAGACTTATAGTATCCATTTAGTCATTAAGCATTTCCTGGATACCTGCCATGTGCTGAGGATATAGATAGGATACCTGTACTAAGTTTCTCAAAGTCCTCTATGATTAAGGTAGTAGTAAGATTAGGGCTTTTAAAGCCAGGCAGAGATGGAATTCTAGCTCTACCTCTTACCAGCAGTTTGTTTATTCTTTAAAACCTTAGGTTTCTTTGTCTTTGGAGTGAAGATAATATTTAGCCTGGCGGTTGTGAGAAAATTAAATGATGTAATGTATATAAAACATAGCTTGACTCATAGGAGATACTGTTGATAAAGGAGTGTGATGAGTGATATCAAATATGCTATAATAGAGATCTCTACATGTAGTAGCACAAAGGAGAGAGTGGTCAAATCTTAAGGAATGAAGATGTGGCTCATCAAGGAAGACTTGGAAAAATGGTGCTGAAGATATAGGGTGTTGATCAATTAATAGTGTTAATTATGCAGATAAGTGGAGAGATTGCATTCTAGGCAGAAGAAATACTCTATTTAAAAGCAGAGAGAGCCCGGCCCGCCATGGCTCAGCGGTTTAGCAGCGACCTATGATCCAGGAGATCGCCATTCAATTCCTGGTGAGGTTGCAGGCTCGATCCCCAGTCTGGGGCGTGCAGGAGGCAGTTAGTCAGTGACGACTCTCTTTCTCCCTCTCCCTTCCTCTGTCTGAAATCAATAAAGAGATATTAAAAAAAAAAAAAAGTGTGAAACAGGCACCTTTGGGAAACTGCATATAAATAGAAGTGCCAGAATACATGCTGCATCGTGAGGGGTGTCAGCAAGGGAGAGCATACATAGGATAAGATGATAGGGGACTTGGCTTTTCTTCCAAAGAGTATAGACAGTATTCCAGAATAATGGAGAGTCATTGAACAACTTACGTAAAGGACTGGCATGGCTGCGAAATTGTGGAAGTGCTAAAGCAGATGGAGTGGAAGTGATAAGGTTATAGGCAAGGAAATCTATTAGACTGGCTGCTGTCAGACTTTTTTGACCAAATCAAGAGGATACAAAGACATGGGGGCACACATAAGCAAATGTGTCATGCAGTAGTATTTGTCCATACTATATAGAATGCATTCTGACATTTTCTGTTTTAGAATGCTAGTTGCAACTCACTAAATTGTTTTCACCACCTAATAACTTGCAGCCTATTATTTAAAAATGCTTAGGAGACTATTGTAGTTCAGGCAGAAGATAATCTAGATTGAGAGGAGCAGTGGTGGTGGAAAGATAGATTTCAGAGTAATTCTGAAATAAAACAAGGGCTTGGTAATCATTTAAATATAGTTGGTAAGTGTAGGTTGACAAACATACCACATTGAGTGACTGGAGTCATTAGAATATATAGCAGGGACTGAAAACTGAAGCACCATTCCATATCTTGGCTGCAGAGGTAATGTTTAGCTGATGGAGGTTTTTTTTTATTACTTTTGTTTTTAATTTAAATGCCTTTAATTTGCTAAGGGTGCCTCATTTATTTATGATCTGCTTTACCCCTGGCATCTGGGAAACATGACAGATGTTGGTAACAGTGAGTTCAGTGTGAATATGTTGCATTAAAGTTGCCCATGGGCCTGGCCAGGCGTGGCTCAGCGGTTGAGCGTCGACCTAGATCCAGGCCATCAGGGTTCGATTCCCGGTCAGGGCACATGCCCAGGTTGTGGGCTCGATCAATGACTCTCTCATCATTGATGTTTCTGTCTCTCTCCCTCTCCTTTCCTCTCTCGAAAATCAATAAAGATATATTTAAAAAAAAAAAAAAGTTACCCATGGGATGTTCCATTGAAGCTCATCAGGAAGTTAGCTAAGGGTCTGTTAGCTCAAGAGAGACATTTGGGCTCTTCAGTTTATTAATGAAAATTAAAGTGAAGGCAGTGGATGAAATCTCCCAGCAAGAATTAATTAAGAATTAATGAAGCCAACGAAAGGAAACAGAATAATCAGAGATAGTGAAACTAAGGAGTGGTCTCTTGGAAGGATATTGATCAGACATTTTTGAGGAAAACAAGAGCCAGCAGTATTGAGAGTTCAGAGAGAGCAGTGAGAGGAAGGGTTCATTGAATATGGCAAATAGGAGAATGTTGACCTTTACCAGACTAGTTTCAATGTAGTGTTGAGGGTAGAAGCCTGATTTCAGAGAGTCTCTAGATATGACCCAGAGACTAAGAATTGGAGATAGTGAGCGTAAACTATTCTTTTGTTTAAAAAAAAAAGTCTTTATTGATTTCAGAGAGAGGAAGGGCGCTAGGGAGAGAGAGAAACATCAATGATGAGAGAGTCATTAATGGGCTGCCTCCTGCATGCCTCCCACTGGGGATGGAGCCCACAACCTGGGCGTGTGCCCTGACCAGGAATCGAACCGAGATCTCCTGGATCCTAGGTCAGTGCTCAACCGCTGAGCCACGCCGGCTGGGCAAACTATTCTTCTTGAAGCTGGGCATTAGAAAGGAATGTCAGGGCACCAAAAAGGAATGAGAAAGAGGAGATTGTCGCTCACAGGACAAAGGAGCATCTCTACCGCAGATACCATAGATGAAATATGTAACTGGCAGCCCCTTTGTATTGTGTAACTCAGTGATGTTATTTTCTCTCATTTCTTTTATTTAATCTACCATAGGGTGAGTCTAGCTATGTGGATGGGAGGTTTGAGGTAAGATGGAGCATAAGGAAGGTTTTTAAAGGATCTGCAATTGTGAGTTATAGTCTGACTATTCAGAATGGAAACATTTTCCTTCTAAATTGAAGAGTAATGCTCTAAATTGGCTGAGCCCTTTTGCTTCTCTCTGCCTCTGATATTGAGGCCCTCTGCTTCTAAAGCCTCAGGTAGATAGGGATCCCGTGAAGGCGGATGCCGTGGGCAGGGTCTTCTCCAATGCTCTCATGCTCTGGCTATCTTTCTGAGTCCTCAGGTACTCAAGTATCAGAGGCCTGTTCCTTGCCTTCAGGCAGTGAGACTCACCCTAAAAGCAGCGGCTTACTGGGCCAGAGAGCCAGTGCCCATCTGTAGCTTCTAATTTCCTTCGACCGGGCTTAGATGTCACTTTTCAAACCTAAAATCAAGCTCAGGGTTGCTTTTGGCTTCGCCATTCCAGGTAGAACATTAAATGTCTTTTCTAGGTTCATCCCTTCTGGCCCTAAAATTTACTCTGAGATTCCAAAATAAGTTTGTTGATTTTATGATATACAGAATGAAGCAGGGTACATTTTATATGTATGTGTATTTAAAACGTATTGTTTTATTTCTGTTTTTCACTTAAGGATATAGTTCCTTTGATTCCTAATGATAACATTTATAAATAATCCATGGGGCCTGGTGTATATGTGTTCATAAAAAAGAAAATGTGTGTAAGTTGTCTTCATTAGCTTCACACTCTGCTCACAAGTCCTCTTTATTTTTAATCCTCACCTGAGGATATTTTTCCCCTTGCTTTTCAGAGAGAGTAGAAGGGAGGGAGGGAGACAGAGACACATGGACTGGTTGCCTCCTGCACACGCCACTTCTGGGGGTGGGGAGCGAACCTGCAACTGAGGTACGTATCCTATGACTGGGGATCGAACCTGAGACCCTTCAGTGCGCAGGCCAACGCTCTTGCCACTGAGCAACACTGGCCAGGCCAGGGTGCAAGTTCTCTTACTACTACTTTGACTCTATAATTGTTTTTCATTATATAACTGTACTGCTTTTTCATTTTAGATCCAACTGAGGAGCCAGCACCACAGGCCACCAATACAGTCGGTTCAGTTATTGGAGTAATTGTCACTATTTTTGTGTCTGGAACCATATACTTTATCTGCCAGAGGATGTTGTGTCCACGTATGAAGGGAGATGGAGAAACCATGACTAATGACTATGTAGTTCATGGACCAGCTTCTGTGCCCCTTGGTTATGTACCACACCCAAGTTCTTTGTCAGGATCTCTTCCAGGTGAGTTAAGACTGATCCACTGAGAATTAAGTCTTGGATTCTGACAAGACTCCCAAGTTTCCATAATTGAAACAAGATATTGCCCAGAGTCTATTTCAAACTAGACCACTTTGGATTTAAAAAATTGTAAGAACAAATGTTCTTTTTTTACTTTTAGTACCTTCTCTACACAAAAGACCTGAGCTATGGTTGGTAGAAATTGCCAAAAGATAAAAAGCGAGTACATATACAGGCATTGTATATGGCGCATGTACTGCATTTCTGGATGCACTCCGCTGAAAGTGAATCAGCTAGTTATTTGGCGAAAAGTCATAAACCACAGTTCTTTAGGTTTCACTACCAGGTGACCTCAGTACTGCTGAGTCCAGGAACTAAAAGGAGGCCAAAAAATAGACTTAAGATTTCTTTTTGGCAAAGATTTGGAAATAGCTGGGTAATTGCAGGGAGGGATATCATGTCTTATGTTCTCTCCTAACTTTAAGTGATGACAGTGAGACTGGGGTTTATTCAGGCAAAGCCAAGTAGCCAGAAGTTCTAGACTTGGGTAGACCACATTGCTCTAGAGAAGTGCAGCTTTCTTATCAGTGCTTCCTGGCACCCTTAGTGTAAAGAACCTGATTGTTTTAATAAATGTGTAGGAGATTCTAGGCAAAAGCCCTCTGAAAATAAGAACTTACTTACTTGTAACTAAGTAAACAGACATGATTTTTAAACTGTTAATGATTCTGTGTTGCCATACCTGTTTGTAGTTAGTGGAATTTAGGAAGTCACTTGGGAAAAATAGAAATTTCTCTTTAGTGTTGGTGGTTGTGATTACAATATTTGCATCTAGTAGCTAAAGAAATGATCTTTCATACATTGTGTTTATGCCCTTGGCCTTAAAAATGGGTTTAGTTTTGAGCATATCTGTTGTTAGTCTACCCTACTCTACATTCTCCACTCTCCACAGCTCTTTCTTCCTCAAAGCCTTTAAGACGGGTAGGGAACCTTTTTTTCTGCCAGGGGCCGTTTGGATATTTATGTCATTAGCAGGCCATACAAAATTATCAACTTAAAAATTAGCTATGAAAAAAGCTCCTAGATTTATTAAATTTTGAGTCTCGCCTGCAGCTGCCTGGCAGGGCCAGATCAAACGTTCCCTACCCATGCTCTAAGAGCTTGAAAACCTCTATTTTGTCTGATTCTGAAGAGCTCTATTTCCGTTGGGGGTGGGGAAGTGAGCAATGGGGTGGGGGGCAGACAGGAATGGGAGCTGTTCTTTATTCTTAGCCTTGTTCTAGGCCAGCTGTCAATGGAAGTGTTCACTTTCAGAGAACTTAATTTCCCTTTTCAATTATTAGAAAAAGAGGGCATGAACTGTATACAAGTCAAACTCTTTGACTGTTCTATAGATCTTAGTCATCTTCAGTATTTGTCTTCCTTTGTTGTAGGAATGTCTCGAGGTAAATCAATGATCAGCTCCCTCAGTATCATGGGAGGAAGCAGTGGACCCCCCTATGACCGAGCTCATGTCACAGGAGCATCATCAAGTAGTTCTTCAAGCACCAAAGGCACTTACTTCCCTGTGGTAAGTAGTCTGGTTTCTTTCATTTCACTTTGAATGCTAAGATACATAGGATCTTAGATTTTTAATTCACTTAAATGTGGGTGATCCGTGATAGTAATGTGAAAAGTTTTTTAGTATAGAATTCAGGCAGAAAAGGTTCCAAGAAGGCTTTACCATAACCATGCAAGCTCTTATAAATCCTTCTTTGTATTTGCTGTGTAGTAACCAGTATATTTGAAAGCATTGGACATTAATTTCTGTTTAGGTAAAAACACCTCCTGAGAGGCTTAGGACCTTCATTTCACGACCTCCCAAAAAGAAGCAGGCGGTATTTCTCCCTGAAGTCAGTACTTTTTCTTTAAACAATTATAATTTAAAAAAATCAAAACCCAGCTATACTGAACTTAAACCAGTGACTTATAGATTTTCTTCTCATCACCTTGTGCTGGTTAGCCATGATGAAATTGTGTCTTAAGGAGTGGAGAGCCACAAACCTAAGGTCACTTCTTTGGAGAGGAAGGATTATGCTAATAATGTAATGGGAACGAAAACGAGCAGAAATGGAAAAAGTTGAAAGAAAGTCTGATAGTCTCTGTCTCAGATAGACCATTGGTTATTTTAATAATTTCATTATTTTTCCTTTTAGATTTTGAATCCCCCACCGTCCCCAGCCACAGAGCGATCACATTACACTATGGAATTTGGTTATTCTTCAAACAGTCCTTCCACTCATAGGTCCTACAGGTAATACACGTCCTCCTCTAATATAAATCAAAGTGTTTATTAGAAGGACCAAGTGTTCTAGTTGTGGGCTTGGTGTTTCCACAAGAGAGTAGATGATGGTCACTGAGAGAGAGGAGGCAGCTTGTCTTGGTAATGCTGACATTGTCCCTGCCATTAATTCTTTTCTTTCAGGGCATTATACAGTGTTTAAAAGAGAGTCACAAATACTGGCTTTTAGAATAATAGTATAGCCCTCAATGCTTTGGCAGTAAGGAAAAGTTACCTATCAAAATGACTGATTTCAAAATAGTTTACTGCTCAGGTTAGGTTTGATTGATAGACTGAGGGTGAAGTATTGGAATGAGACTGTGTATGGTTCAGAGAGTTGTGAGCTTTCTAAAACAGCGGTGTTACCAAGAGCACAGAACTTGAGAGAAGCTTCTGTTCAGCCCTTGCTTCTTACATATGTTGTTATGACCTGAAATGAAATATTTCTCATTCGGTTGCATGGGAGAGATCTTGACTCACTAAAATGAATGAAATGTATTTGTAAGTCAAAAGGGGGGAAATGTGCCTGTGTGCTGATCTGTGAATCTGCAGAGCATAGTGAGCAGGGTAAGCACTGGCACTCGTGTGTATTGCCCTTACTCTTCCCTCTTATTTGAAAGGCCAGCAGTCAAGAGTTTGATACTCTGTGTAAACAGTTGTTGCCCAGTATTTGTTGTCATTCCTCAAGTGCCAGGTATCTTCTAAATAAGGTGTTTCCTAGCATTCCAGCCAAATTGCCCTGATGTAACTGCATAGGTGTGTAGAGATCAAGTGGAAACTATTGGTAGTACCTCATTCAGAATTCTCATTTCAGTTTATAGATAAGATTATTTGACATAGGCTTGACTCTGGATGGATTTTTATGTTTTACTGTAAATGCTGCTTTCTCTGCCACAAGTTTATTTTAAAAAGCCAAAATAAAAAAATCAATGGAAAAAATATCCTCCAGTGAGATTAACAAAAAACAAATAAATAGATAAATAAAAAACCAAAATAGAGAGGCAGAAATCTGAAAATTGGGGGGGAAAAGGAAAGACCTAAAATTTTATTTAAAATTTTTAAATTTCTTTAAATTGAATAAAACATTGTTTGATTAAAATGAACATAATTACATAAAAACAGTTCTTATTTAATCATTTCCTACATCTCAAATTAAGCCCAGTTTGTTTCTCCTGAGTTAAACTTACCATTAGTTGAGTTTTTTGTCTAACCTGGAACTTAAAAGAATTTTATTAATTTTGTTCCTTCCCTTCCCTGTTTCTTTCCCATGAAAATGGAAATGTTGGGCCTTTTAAATGTTGAGTCAAGAAATTTTACCAAGGCTTGACATCTGATTAGACAGAAAGATAAGACCTAAAAAATTCCATGATATCATGTTAATATTGGTAGTAAAAAACAAAAACAACAAAAAAACACTGAAAAAACCTGCTCAGCAGGTTATGTAACAGTTAGTCTTTTGGCAACCATTCTTTTGAGGCAAGTCCTAATGATATCAAATGATTTGTATTCTGGGATATTATCTGTGGCACTCACTCTCTGTCACTAGGTATTTTATGGAGTATTTCTTCAGTTTTGCACTTGCTCTTGCCCCTCTCTTGCAGTTACTTTGTTTGATGAGAAAGCATATAAGAGTAACTTTACCATATTTAGAACATAAAGGGTATAAGAAGTTGCAGGTAGAAGTAGAAATGATAGGAAAACCAGCACATTGAGTCAGCTCTTATTTTCACTAGTATGATTCTTTCTAGTGCCTTTTTCTTTAGTTAGCCATGCTACAAACTTTATTAACAACTATAGATTAAGATAAACAAGTGAAAGAAATAAGTTACATCAAATACATATTAGAAAGTTCACTGGTCCTATATGGATATTTAGAATTTATCATTTCATGTTCACTTAAAGCTGCTCTTATGACAGTATGCTTGTCTTTACACAGAGAGTCAAAACTTTCTCTGAAACCACAGCAGTTTCCTTTTGCTGATAGTAACAGTAATGGGATAGATGTGCCCCTTAGGCTGTCTACAATATTCATTAAGTACAACTTGGAATAGTTCTTTTTTATTTTGTGGTACAGTTTAAGTTAAAGCTATAAGCACACATCCAGGGTCTAGACTGTGCATTTCTATCCTATACATTTTTAATTGCCTCTAAATCACATTTTATTTGCAAATATAAAATGCATGTTATCTTTTACTTCCAATTTGCCATTGAAAATTGTGTCCTGGTCTGTGCAAATTTAAATTGTAGTAGTTTATTATCTTCAGTGTGAAGTTTACATCTAATACCTCTGTATTTTGATAGGGAAAACCACTTTTTGATAAAACTAACTCTTGATTTTCTCCCTATACCAGCTACAGGCCATACAGTTACCGGCACTTTGCACCCCCCACCACACCCTGCAGCACAGATGTTTGTGACAGTGACTATGCTCCCAGCCGGAGAATGACCTCAGTGGCAACAGCCAAGGGCTACACTAGTGACTTGAACTATGACTCAGAGCCTGTGCCCCCACCTCCCACACCCCGAAGCCAATACTTGTCAGCAGAAGAGAACTATGAAAGCTGCCCACCTTCTCCATACACAGAGAGGAGCTACTCTCATCACCTCTACCCGCCGCCGCCCTCTCCCTGCACAGACTCCTCCTGAGGAGGGGCCCTCCTCCTCTGCCTGCCTCCAATGCAAACATGTACATACAGATTTGGTTGAGATCTGGAGGGGGGGAGGGAGATACGAGAGAAGGATGAGGCAGACCATGTACAGTTAAAAATTATAAATGGGGTAGGGAATACTGGAGATATTTGTACAGAAGAAAAGGATATTTATATATTTTCTTAAAACAGCAAATTTGCTGCTTGTGCCATAAAAATTTGTATAAAAATAAATTTGTACTAAAAGTTTTATTTTTGCAAACTAAATACACAAAGCATGCCTTAAACCCAGTGAAGTGACTGAGTACAAGGAAACAGAAATAATGGAGGCATCAGTGACCAGGAATGTCTGGGCTTTGTTACCAAAAATAGAAGAAGAAGAATTATTTAAGTCCATCTCAGCAGCAAACCATTGACACTTGGAAGTAGCCAGAGAGCCCTCATGTTAACTAACATTTGAGGGCCAACAAGTTGAAGAAACCATGAACGAAAAAAGGAATTAATACTAACTTTGGACGTGGGGCTTTGTTTTCTCTAGAAATCCAGCAATTTTAGTGAGGATAAAAATCCATTCTGGGTGTTGCTATTGTAGTTTCGATCAGCTGTCTGGTAAGATGCTGTGGGGCCACGTGTGTGTGCAAGACTTCTGTCCTTACCTTAGAATCCACACACACCTCTTTCAGGGTTTTTTTCTCTAGGTGTTTTCACCTTGCTTGCTCCCCCAGCAGCTTTATAAGCCGTTTTGCCAAGATATCATGACTTATTCAAAGCTTTTTATCTGAGGATTGATTAAATGGAATTTTCTAAATTAAGGTTTTATTTTAATATTTATACTAGCTCCATTCTCATATAGGCTTATCTCCTCAGTTTGACTGCTGTTTTTGCATAATGATCAAAGGGTAGACATATTATCGCTCCTCTTCTAAGATTGTTTTAATGCTCATTAAACTCTCTTCTTACAACACATGTAGGCAGTGTTTTAAGAATTACAAATTTAACCATTATGTTTTTGTTGTAAATTGATCATATATCCTTGCAGTACTTTCAGCATGTAATATCACAATATAAAATCATTTTTATATATATTTTTCCTACTAAAATATTTAAATATGTTCTGGTTAGAGACAATCTGTGTAAAAGGAGAACTTTTTGTTATCATTAGGTTTTCCCTTTAGTAACTGCTTGTGACATTTTTATGTTCTTTAGGCCAATTTTTCTCAGAATGATGTCACATACATACCTCTTCTAACATGCAACATGAGTTTAATATCTTTCTGTTACCTAATGTGAATGTTTTCAAATTATCCACGAATTATCCTTATAATCACCTTTTATATATATTTATGTGTGTTCTCTCTTATCCCATTATGGATTAAGACGATTTAACAAATTTAACAGTACAGATTAAATGAGAAGGTAAACTGTTAACTTCTCAGCCATCAAAACTCGGGTGGAGGGGATAATGGAAGGCTCTTACGTAACCTGCTGGCCTGTGCAGCACTGGGGCTGCTGCATCTTCAGCTATCAGGGCTGACCTGTGGAATGAGTCTAGCACTGCTCTGCCATCTTGCCAGAAGTTAATTTCCTGCTTTTCACATGTTTCCAGCATTTCTCTGCTAAAATTGAATGTGTTTTTAAACTAATGTATTTTTTTACCTTAACAGATGTTGGTCAGTTAGTTACTGAATGGTTTTTCTAAAAATTCTGTCTTGCTGAGGCTTCTCTGGATTTCAGGGCCCAAGAAAAAAACAATGGAAGGAAGGATTCAGAATATTGGCAAAGGTGAAGTAATTCTTTAAGCAATTAAAAAATACCTAAGTAAACTTTTTAGAGAGAAAAAAATGTGTTTTCAGAATACTGCTTAGATTGTTGGGGACACCTTCTAAGAATCAGGTGCACTTGGTTTTGCATATAAATAAATGGTGATCCAGCAGTGTCTTGCATTTCAGTCAGACTATAGCCGTAACTCTTCCTGTTCATGAAACAAAGTGCCCCCAACCTAACAGAATGGACACAGAAGGCACATTCTGTGACACACATGGGCACTTGATGCTTAAATGAAGACGGAAAGGTTAGCAATAACTGGGTGTCAATTAGAATTTGAGAATTCTATATGTTTACATTTTTTAATGTGCATCTTTATCTGGTGGGCTTCCCATGTGGAAACTTGCACTATAATAAACTAAGAAGAATATTGCCTTGTTGTATCTCAGTCCAAGTGCTTGTACTGCGATGGCAATGGCCTCTTCTTGCAAAATGCTAATTTGTGTGCCAATTTGAAATTATTTGAAGGCAGTTCAGCTTAGTCTTAGAATCCTCTTTCTGGGGTAGTTGAGATGGATTTTTAATATTTGGGGGAGTACCTTTAAAATGAGAGAATTGTCAGAATTCAGGAAAGATTTATCGACCCTCTGGTTACATGGACAGTTAAGCTTAAGTAAACTATCTTAATTATTAAACACAAGAGCTTTAATTAGAAAAACTAAGGATAAAAAATCAAAAAGGGTTTTGAACTCGGTGTATTGCTAGATTCATTATCCATGGGGGAGAGGGGTGAATAAAATTTCATTAGATTTCTTAAATTAAAAAAGTATTTATTTCGAGCATATCTTAAGGTACACCCACTTACTGATACGGTTAGAATTGTCTGAGAAATTAGCTTAAGCAGAGCATACGTTCAGTGCACTGTAGTAAGCTCTCCCGCGTTGGAGTGGTCTTTTAAGAACTGAACTTCTCTAACTTTGACCCTGGCTCCTGCAGAACCCTGGTCCTCTGAACAGGGGCCCAAGGAGCTCTGCTCTGACCGGCGAGGACAGCTATTATAAATGGGTGGTGTGCACTTGGAAATCTAATGGGGGGGAGGGGATAAGTGGGGGTAGGCAGTAAAGTTGTAGATGTTCTTTCCTTCCGGTACTAGAGGGGCTTTCCTTAAGCAAGTCAGCTTCTCTGCAGTAGGTGCACTGCTGCTGTTTCCCTGTCTAGTCCTATGCCTAGACGAGATGCTTAGAAACGTAGTTTTAAAATTGTTTTATCTCTTGCAGGAGAAAACATGTCACTCCATTAATTTGCATGCTGTAAGAGCTGCATATTTACCATTTCACATCTAACAAAATTCAGAAACAGAAATCTTGGGCTTTTCAAACCCCAAATATGTTATGCTTTATTAAGTTACATAGTGTGGAGTGTGGATATGAGTATGTAAATACCAGTTGGCTGACAAAGATTTGGACATTTACAAATGAGAATATACACTAGGTGTAGACGCGAACCGAACCATAAAGAAGTTTATAATCAGTGTTGTTTAAAACATGTCCTCAGAATTTTTAAACTCAAGAAATTTAATCTTATTTGGTATTGCTTTTCTTATCCCAAGCCTAAAGTGAGCTAAGAGAAATAACATGATTTTAGAGAGTACTGGTAGTATGTGTGGTTTCTGACTGTGGGGAGGGCATCATTTCATAATAGTCTCAAAATTTAGCCTTTGAAATTCTCAAGGTTTTAGAGGACTTTGGATCTAAAATATACCATTTTACTCTTGGTATTTTAAGTATTTTAAATTATGAGTGTTGTATGTCTGCATACTCAGGATATTTGTCTTCATTCTGTGTATTATTAAACTAAACCTGTACCTGAGTGGAGGGGGGAGGTAGATTTTTAGGGTAATCTAGATGATTTAGAGAGAAATTACTGGCTCTCCTCACCCTTTTTCAGTGCAGTACACTTGACTCTGGTTTTCTTTTTCGTAAGGCATTCTTAAACCATTAAGTTTACTGCTGAAAAAATTATTCATGACTTTACAGATAGAATTATAAACTAAGCAATTTCTTGTACTCAGAAGAGGACTGTAGACCTAACAGAAACTTTTCTCCCCACTGTTACTTAGGGTTTGCCTAAAAGTTAACACCAAAAAATTATACACAGCTGCTTTTGCTTAACTGTCCATTCTTTTTTAAATAAAATATAATCAGGGTAGGGATGCATATATATGTATGTGAATATATATATATATATATATATGAACATTCCTTTAATACGGATATTAAAAGGAAAATAAAGCGAAGAGAGTGATTAAATGTAACGTTACATGAAATTCAGTATCTGGGATTAGCGAGGAAAATTTAAAAGGAGTAAAGAGGATACTGAGAAGCTTAAGCTGGACTAGCCTGATTTGCAAGTGAAGGATCTGGTGCTGCTTTCAGATGTTTATCCTTTGTGTTTTTAAATTTTTTTCTTAAGCTTTAATCTTCGTTTTGTCTTAAAGTCAGCTGGTGTTTCTTGTCCATGGACTTTGGTACGATGGTGCTTTGCAAGGATGTATTTATATTTTAATGGCCAACATTTGGTCAGCCCTTGTCCACTATTCACTCCCCCTTTTTGTAAAATAAGTGCTTTAATTGTAAACTGTATAAAAATACCTTGTATAAAACCCCCCTTTTGATTATTACAATAAGCTGAGTTGTAACAAATGAAAAGTTGATTTTTATAATAAAACGGTGGAAAATAAAGGTGTCATTTCTTTTCAGCAAGAAATTGAAACCATCTGCTTGTGCTTTGCTGTGATATACAACTATTGTGCTTCAGACACAACAAAACCTACCTTTATTTTTACTTCAAATAAAACACAACCTTGGGAAAACGGCTTTTTATTAAGCAGTGATTGAGCTCAAACATCAGGTGGTTAACGGAAACGAAGCTTTAATATAAATGTCTTTCCTTAGCAGATGCTTTTGCATTGGAGAGCTTACCTTGACTTCTTTGCTGACTGCTCCCATTTTTTATTCTGGAGGGAAAACAGAAGTTACAAAAGTTGTGCCATTTACAGTTGCGTCAGAATAAGGAAAGGCAAAACTATGGATGATTTGCCTGATTTATTTCTAATTAAAAATATTATTTTCAAGTAGACATTCAATATTAGCTTCAGGTGTACAGCATAGTGGTTAGACATTTATGCAACTTACGAAGTGACACCACCCCCCCATCCCAATAAGTCTAGTATCCACCTGACCACATACATAGTGGTTTGCCTGATTTAAAGGCAGGTACAAGAATGGGAAAAACAGTACAACTGGTTTTGGATAAACTTTCCTCCAGGTAGGTTTTCAGCTAAGTTTATACAGTCTTTTTATTTTTAAAATCCTCACCAGAGGATATTTTTTTCATTGCTTTTCAGAGAGTGAAAGGGAGAGAAACATGGATATGAAAGAAACACGTTGATTGGTTGCCTCCCATACAAGCCCGACTAGGGCCAGGGATTGAGCCTGTAACCGAGGTATGTGCCCTTGGCTGGAATTAGAATCGGACCGGGGACCCTTCAGTCCACGGGCTGACACTCCAACCACTGAGCAAAACTAGGCAGGGCTATACAGTCTTTTTAATTTTAATTCTTTACCTTGTATGTGGTTGCACTTCAATTTAGTGATTTTTAAATTTAAATCAAAGGATGACTTGATTTAAATTTGGGTTTAAATTTGTTGATGGAGTTCAGGACACACTACCCCCAAATATGGCACCTTGGCGTTTTGAATATTTTAAGCTGAAGGAATTTGAGAAACTACATGTCCAGGAAGGAGTCTCTGACCTTCCCCTGAAGTAGGTCATAAATTCATGTGAGAGGTGTCCTCCCCATACCAGAGGAAAGGAGCCTCCTTAACATAGAAGCGGAGGGACACAGGAATCTGACTGAGCAAGCCTTGCTAATTTCCCTCCAGTTTACTGCACTTGGCTCATACTATTTGTCCCATCGTGTTTTTCCATCACTTTCCACTCCCGTCAAGCCTAGCATAAAAACACTCAGGTTTAACCATGTCTGTGTGTCTTCATTTCCTTATGAGGGCTCCGTGTCATGTAAAATTTAAATACATTTGTATGTTTTCTCTTGTTAATCTCTTTTGTTACAGGGTCCCAGCTGAGAACTTAGAGAAGATATTTTTGTTTGCACCAACCCTGAAAATTATCTACCTGAGATTTGCGTTGTAAATTCAGATTTAATCACCATATAAAGCCAATCTCCAATAAAGGGGCTAAAAATAAAGGACAGTTTTGGTGACATTGGGTTTGCATTTATTGTGCACCATGTACTGTGTTAACCCATTTTTCCCCTCAGGTTATTCAATGGGTTAATGACCAAGCTTGACAGGAAATGCCAAATTTGCATATGAAAAACTACAGTGCAAAATTTTAATCAGACACAGTTGGCAGTGGGTGGAGGTGTGCTAGGTAGGTAGATATGAGCAGAGCAAGGATGATGGGACAGGTACTGAAGGTCATCAGGGCAGAAAGCCCTGGGGGGCCTAGCAAAGGGCAAAACTGGGGAAACAAGGACCTTTCCTCCCCTAGTATATCACTGGTCATGCAGTTTAGACCCCCTTGAGCATTCATATCGCTGGTCATTCAGCTCAGACCCTCCCCTGACCTTTCCTCCCCTGGCATGTTGCTATTCATGGAAGTTAGACCCCTTTAGAGGGGAAATGAACAAGGGAGCTGGAGAATAGCCCTTAAGCATTAAGCTCCCACAACAATGAGATTCTGACCCGCATAAAATACATCTAGGCCTCAGTTGTGTTTCAGCTCCAGGCCCAGAAAAGCAGCAAAACCAGACAAGAGAAGCCATAGTTGACATCAGGACCAGTTACCATGATTAATGAGCCTCTAACCTGGCACCAAGCCATCAGTGGAGACCAGGACCCTGGTAGGACACACCTGGAAAGCTGAGTGTTTTATTCAGACCCTCCTCTGAGACCTTCCCTAAAATCTCCATCCTTTAAAGCCCTTAGGACAGAAGACCCAGCTTACTCTCCCTCCTACCTGGCCTTTCCCCCTCCCAGCCCCAGGCACATTACTTTTACCTTCACCTTCCTTTCTCCTAAGCTCCAAGGGCCTTTCTTTTGCCTCTGTAACTTGTTTCCTGAGCCCATTTCTTTTATGGATCACTTCTACCTCTATGACTATCTAAATAAACTTTCTCATATAGTTTGAGTCTTGACTCTGAATTTTCTCCTAGACAGAACTCAAGTACCAATGTCGCTGAAGCACAGTCTGGTCTGACTCCACCAGTCTAACACCTGGTGGTGGTCTCGCTACCAGCAGAGGGAAAAGAACACTGAATTGAGACTTATATTCTAATCTCTCTTCCATTTTAATTAACTGTCGAGGCATGTCTGAACTCATTCAGTTGTTGGTGTTAGTCTCTATTAGAGTTTTCTGAACCTGACTTGTCTATCAGCCAGTTCCACTATCTGTTCCAGAGAGCTACTTGTACATAAAGCATTCTAGACAATGAACAGTATTACAGGTCTTCTGGAGTCCAAACACCTATGTAGTATCCTGTTCTGTCCAGATACCTCTTCCAAGCCTCCTTCCCCCTTTGCCTCTTCCCTGGTCTTGCTCTGCATAAAGGAATTTATACTCCTCAAAAGGAGAGACAGCCCCATGCCCATGATACAACACAAGCTTTATGGCAGACAAAAGTGATTATCTAGATTATTTTACTTCTGGTGATCCTAGCAAAAGCTCCCCCTTTACCATTACCCAGTGTCATGGCCTTTGAAGACTCTTGTGTTTTGCCCAGTAGAGTCCATTTGGGAGGGGATTCCATGAGAAGGAAGGAAAGAGTTAGGGCCCTCCAGTTCTATGTAGTGCTGTTTCTTTCAATCAATGTATTTATCATTTCCAGTGCTCTTTATTCTGTAGATACAGATTTCTAATTGGTATAGTTTTCCTTCTGTCTAAAAGACTTTAACATTTTTTGTAATTCAGTTCTGCTGGTGAGGAATTCTGTTAGCTTTGTATATCTCAAAAAGTCTTTATTTCACCTTCCTTTTTAAAACATCTTTTTGTTGGGTATAGAATTCTGTGTTGACAGTCTTTTTTCTCTTGATACTTGAAAGATGATACTACATTTTATTCTGTCTTGTATTGTTTCACAAGAAAAATTTGCTATCATTTTTGTTTGTTTCTGAGTATATAATGTGCCTTTTTCTCTGTCTACTTTCAGGATTTTTTGTAATCACTGGTTTTGAGCAACTTATGATGTGCCTTGCTATAGTTTTCTACGTTTTTTGTGGTTGGCATTCATTGAGTTTCCTGGTTCTGTGGGCTGATAGTTTTCATGAGATTTGGAAATTTTTCACTCCAATTACACATATATTGGCCAGTAGAAGTCACCCCACATTTCACTATTGCTCTGTTTTCTTTACCAGTCTTATTTCTCTTGTGTTACTTAGAATCTATTGCTATATCTTTGAGTTTGCTTACATGTTCTCCTGCAATGTGTAGTCTGCTGTTAATCCAGTCCGGTCTATTTTTCATCTCAGAGTTACAGATTTCTTCTCTACAAGTTTGGTTTAAATCATATTTATAATTTCTATGTGGGCTTTAGAGGTTCAGTCTCTCCTTTGGCTTACTGAGCATATGAAATGCAATTATAATAGTTTTAATGTCCTTGTCTAGTAATTCTATCAGCAGTATCATTTCCAAGGCGCCTTTTCTTGATTTTTCTCCTCATTATTGATCTCATTTTTTTTTTGCTTATAATTTTTCAATTGGATACCAGACATTGGCAATGTTACCTTGTTAAGTATTGGATATTTTTGTGATCCTGTAAAGATTCTTGAGCTTTGTTCTGGAACACAGCTAAGTTACTTGATAATAGTTTAATCCTTTTGGTTCTTGCTTTTCATCTTTGTTGGGCAGAACCAGAAGTGTGTTTAGTCTAGGGCTAATTTTTTCCCATTACTGAGGCAAAGTTCTTCTATTTTACCTATTGCCATGCACATTTTGAGGTTTTTCCATTTTGGATAGTGGAAATAGGCACTACTCCCAAAACTGCGTGAGCTTTGGAAAGCGATCCCTTAATATTTTCAGGTGTTCTTTTTCGAATCCTTGGGTAATTAGTGTCTTTATATGCATGTGCCGTTCAGTATTCATCTGAAAACTCCAGGGGACCTATCTGCACATGTCTGAAGCTTTTTGTGCCATTCTCTTCCCTCCATTACTTGCCTTACAAACTTCAGCTGCCTTGGCCTTCCCTGGCTCCTAGGCTCTATTTTCTCTGTTCATGGAGACTGCTGAGCCCTACATGGGTTCCCTTCCAGCACAGCCTGAACACTCTTTACCTGCAGTATTCAAGGGCAAGCATAGGGCTCTCTTTGTTTCTCATCTAAAAACTATGCTTGCATATATTTTGTCTATTTTTTTTCCAGTTGTTTTAAGTCAGAGATTAAATTCAGTTACTATTACTTCATCTTAGCTGGAAGCTGCAGATGATATTGGAACATTTGAAGAGCTTGTTAAAATCACACATACCTTAGGCCATACTCCAGTCTTACCTATTTACAGGTTATAGTCGTCCGGCTAGGGTATGATTCTGTAATTGTGCACTGAAAACATGCCAGACATTAGGTATACGAAGTTAAATTAGACATAATACTTGTTTATGAAAGCTTTTGCAATCCAGTGTGAAAGACTGGTTGTTGTAGGACAATGTATTAAGTATAACGTCCATATACAGGGTGTTAGAAGCATCCTTATGAGGAAAGGCATCCAAATGTAGCCCCTTGGTGCCCAAGGGGGGATTACAGATGGTTCCTGGAGGAAATGGAGGAGTGAATTTGGAAAGATGGGCTAGAGCTAGTGGAAGCTGGGAATAGGGGAAGGAGGAACAGCAGGCAAGAACACTTCAAATGGAGAAAAGATTGCTCTGAAGCCTCTGGACTCCAAGCTCTCATAATGCACAGGGAGGACTGCAGATGTTTGAAATGGTTGGATGAAAGTGGGAGAAGAGGTCTCCAGGGTCTCCAGCTGGGAAAGGAGACTCCTGTATTGCTAACATTGCTGCCTTTCAGTGTGGGGGAAGGAAGGAAGGAAGGAAGGAAGGAAGAGTAATTTTAATTGAGGTGGGTTGGGTAGTGAAGCATGTGATAATAGATAGGTCCACTTTTCTCTTGAGGTTGAAAGTATGTCTGAACAACTCGTTCATTTATTTGTTCATCAGAGGTTTATTAAATACCTATTTTATGTCAGGTTCTGTGTTGGGTGCTAGAGATCCAGAAATTTGTGAGGCCCTATCATTTGAACGTGTTTTTAAACATTGTTGTGTGTCTTAAATACTATGGAACATATTTCACTTACTAAAAGACCTCATTCTGAAGAGTATCCATTTCAGGAAAACAATCAGTGACTGCTTCGAGAGGAGAGGAAGTTTCCAGCTTAGCTCCGGGCAGCACATAGCAGGGAACATGAGTGAACACTTGGCTCTAAATTCCATCTCGGTTCTGAGCACTTTATTTAAATTAACTCATTTGATCCTGACAGAAATTTTTGTACTATTACTTATTGCTTATTTTAACCACAAGATACTCTTATGACAGTGGTCTTTCCACATATTTATTTTACCAGCTACTAATCATCACCCCCCCGCAAAAAATAACAAAGAAAGTCCCAACGACCTTGAGACAGAGACGGGGTCACTGAGAGTTGAGGGCAGTAGGAGTAATTGTTTTCTGCCAAATGAAATTTTTTCAAACCGCCCAAGAATTCTCCCAGAGAAGTGAGTCAAAAAGGCAGATATGGAAGCGTTTCCCCAAATGAGTGGACAGCAGTAAACTCGAGGCTCTCTGAGCTACGTCTACTAACATGAACAGCAACATCCTAAAGGTGGGCTCGAAACAATGTCATTAGGCCGTCCCAAGTGTGGTTTAAAAAATAAACAGTACTGGAAACCAAAGAGTAGGCACATGCAGTTTATCGTTTTGCTCTCCCTAAGGTGGCCACCAGAGGCAGGGGGACGGTTTCTGTTCTGAATGTTTGAGAAGAAAATTACCACTTGTTTTTCTAGATTTCCTCACACTCAATGGGGGGCCTGCAACACATGAGTGTCGAGGCCACACTAACACAGTCTATGAGCTGGGCACGAATGACGCCTCTCGGATGCTCTTGGTTCACAGTAATGATGGGTTTGAAAACTCCAATGCTCCATCTGCCTTGTGCACTTCTATTTTCTCCTGGAGTCTGTGCTGAGGCTGAGGTACACAGGACCACGGTTGACCCATGAGTATTCCAGATTACACACCTCCTGATGTTTCAGTCTACTTCTTCAAGTGATATCCCAAGTACTTTTGCCTAGAGGGGAAAAAGAGAAATAGATTCTTAAAATTCCATGTGTGATTTACTGTTGAAGTGAAAACATGTGCCTGTTAACTCCGCTCTCTTATCCCAGGCATGGCCCTGGGGCTCAGAGACTAAGTTTAGGGCTGGGGGAGGGTTTGGAAAGGTGACTGGCATCCACACATCCGGGGCTCACAGGCTAGATGGGAAAAGGCTTTGATGCTGTTACTTAACATTCAAAAGAGTAGGTGTGGGAGGGCTGGTGACTTTCCTTTTACTAACCTTTCAGAGGGCTGTAGAGTGTGTGAGGTGATCAGGATCTCGGGGTAACGTGAAGAATGAGGAAAAGGGGCCAAAGAGTAAGTTAAAATCTCATAGTAGAGCCCTAATGGGGTAGCTCAGTTGGTTAGAGCATCGTCCAGATACCCCAAGGTTCTGGGTTCGATACCCGATCAGGGCACAGTTAAGAATCAAGCAATGAATGCATAAATAAGTGGAACAACAAATCGATGTTTTTCCCTCTCTCTCTCTCTCCCTCCCCCCAAATCAACCAATAAAATAAAACCTCACTGTAGCTTGTTTAGCAAGCTTTATAAACAGTTACTATACATTCATTCATTCGATTGGTTGATTCACTCTCCAAGCATTGGCTGAGCATCTCTGATGTATATAAAAGTGATGGGAGCTAGGCGGGATAAAAAGAGACATAAAATACATAATCTTTCCCTTAAAGACCTGCAGTTTGGTTGGGAAGATTAGGGGCGCTTGTATGAAACGGGACTGCTGAGATAGATCGTTCAGAACGAGCCCGAGCTCCTGAAGGCCTAGGAGTCATTTCTTCCTTCCATGACCCTACGAGGACATCCCGGAGAGACCCCGAAATACCTGAGCCGATGGAAGTCCCTGGAGGCTTCCCACCCAGTATCATCTTTTCTTCCTGTTCAGGGAAACTGAGCACAGGTCCCAGTCCACATCTCCTCCATCCTTTTGTAGCTCTGATCAACTCACAGATATTTTTAATCAACATCCTTATGTTTTGCAACTCTTTCTCTGTCACTTTGGGAAAATCAGTCCATTCTCATTCTTTTTTCCTCCCTCCCCTAATTTCCAGCTTCATGCTCCAAACTAAACCGAATGATGGCCAAGCCTTGAAATCAGGATTTATGATGACCTGGATAAGTAAACTCATAAACTCTGAATGGAAACTACAAATGATAAAGAACTAGTGCCATCAAATTCTAATGCCTTTGAAAACTCCCTTTATTATTTCTACTGAAAAATCCATCTATTTTCTCTAATTAGAAGTGTGTTTTTTTCTCTCTAGCACCAGCAGCCAATTAAAAAAAAAAATTAAAAAAATGTTTGCATTTTTTCCTTTTTATTTGCTTACAAGAATTAGAATCACGATTTTTCATAACAGATTTATTGAAATATGATGTAAAATTCATCCTTTTAAAGTATATAATTCATTGGCTTTTAATATATTTAAAGTTGTGCAACCATCACCTCTATCTGATTTTTTGCATCTGAACATTTGCATCTCCACAAAAAGAAACTCCTATTCATTAGCAGTCACTCCCCACTCCCTCTCCCCAAAGCCCCAGGAAGCCACTAATCTCTCTGTGAATGTGCCTATTCTGCACATTTCATACAAATGGGATCATACAATAGATGGCCCTTTTGTCTGACTGCTTTCACTATGGATAATGTTTCCAAGGGTCATCCATCTGTCAGTACCTCATTCCTTTTTGTGGCTGAATAATATTCCATTGTATGAATGTGCCACATTTGGTTTTTCAGGTCATTATTCATTACTGATGAGCATTGGGGTTCTTTCCACTTTTTGGCTTATGAATAATGAATACTGCTATGAACATTCATGTACAAGTTTTTATGGGAACATTCCAGTTTTCTTGGGTATGTACCACAGAGTGGAATTAGTAACTCTATGTTGCACATTTGGGGCAACTGCTGAATCGTTTTCCAAAGAGACTGGATCATTTTAGAATCCAACCAACAATGTATGAGGGTTTGAATTTCTCCTGTCCTCATCAACACTTGTCTTTTATTTTAGCAATACTAGTGGATGTGAGATGGAATCTCACTGTGGTTTGGATTTGCATTTCCTTCATGTTGAAATGAAGGTCAGGCAAGTATCTTTTCATATGTTTATTAGCCACTTGTATATCTTCTTTGGAGAAATGTGTATTCAAATCCTTTGCCCATTTTAAAAATTGGGTTGTCTTTTTATTGTTGAGTTTTAAGAGTTCATTACACATTGTAAATACAAGTCCCTTATCAGGTATACGACTTGCAAGTATTTTTTCCCATTACATGGGTTGTCTTTTCACTTTTCTTGATGATGTTCCTTGAAACAGGAATGTTTTTAATTTTGATGTGGTCCAATGTGTTCTTTCTTTTCTTGCTTGTGCATTTGGTGTGGAACCACCATTGTTTATAGAACACTTTTGGCATTTCAGCTACACTAATTAACTAAATAGACTTTCGAGAACTGGCCCGTGAACCCAATTGATACATCTCTCTGGAAAAATATATTAACAGGACCAACAATGATGGTGATTTCCTATGTATAATGCTAGTGCAAACATGAAGTGTTATAAGAGGTTCAGAGGCTGGTGAGGACCTTGAGCTGGAGCTGTCGGGAAAGGCTCTGAGGCAGAGGAGGGACTTGAGGGGGTCCTGGAAGGAAGAACAGTTAAAGCTGAAATAATATCCAGGACTCTGTCCTCTTAGCATGAGTTAAGGCAGCTTGAATTTAGAATAGTTAAGAGCCTTAGTTGTTCAGATCAGCCACTTAAGGGCTATCATATCTGGTGCAAAAGTGGGAAATAGCAAAGAACAGAAGACTGGGGTAGCTCAATGGACATCTGCTGAAGACTGTGGAGGGCACTTCAGTTCCTCAGGCAAGACCAACTGTACTTTCTCTCTGGTTTCCAAGACTAAGCCTGTTTGGAGGCCTTAGGGTCACATTGGCCATGCCTCAAAGAGACTTAACCCTGCTGCTGGCTAGAGCATTCTAGTGGAAAGAGGAATAATGATACTATGGGGCAAAGGCCTAATTTCTGAGATTTAAAGCTCGGGGCAAAGTGTTTTGACAAGGTTGACCTTATGAGGCCATTTAAACATGACAATTTGAAGGAAATCTCAAGGAACGGGAATAACGGATGAGGAAGAGTTGAGGCTGAGGCATGGGGGTGAAGATAGCTGTTTTGTTTGATATCAGGTCATTTAAAACAGATGAAAATTTCACTGTTTGCTTTTTAGTTTGTATCAAAATGTCCTTGTCAAAATTCTGGGTCAAGGCAGCAATGACAAAAATGTCATTGTCACCCTGAATCTCTGCATGAGGATTATCCCCATGCTCTTTGAGCATCTGAAAGTATGAGGCATGCCCTGCCTCTCCTTGACTCACTGCCAGACATCCGCTGCCTGTAAATTTTGTGAACACAGAAATTATATCTATCTAAACATTTAATCTCTCAGCATCTCCTCATTTCCTGTTATATTTGACCAGTCCCTCTCCCCTGACACACATACCCCATGTACCCTTTGGGAGCTCAGTAAATATTTATTGATGATGAAGATAATCACTAAAAATATGTTCCCCTCAATGGGATATATTTTTTGCCACTCAAGTGTCCTAAACCCATGAGAACCGTTTCAAGGATGTGTTCCCTTCATTTAAAAAACAAACAAACCCAAACGTTCCATCCCATCTACTCTGAGATTTGGGAAGATTCATTTTTAAATAGCGTGCACTTACCCATCCACCGTGCTGCTGGACCCAAGGCGAAAAGTTCTCTCTGAGGTACTTGGCTCCAAAGCCTAGTACCCTGTTCATGGGGTGGTTGTCGATGGCAGTGAGCTTGGCCGTGGCGTCTATGGCAAGAGCAGCCTTAAAGCCCCGAACTTTGACCTCTGATTCTCCCCTGGTATCTACACCTCTTAGGAACTGGTCGGTGATGGTCTTGAAAACAGAGTAGGACAGCCCGTCCTGGAAGCTGTTCATCAAAGCCTTGTCTTTCTTCAGCTACATACAAGAGGATAAACATTCAGTAGAGAAGCTTGGCCCAGTGAGACAGGATCCCTAGCTCAACAAGGGGCCACTGAAACACCCAATAAAAAACCCTGGATTCCTGTCTCAACCGCGGCACCATGTCCTACAGAACTGGACCAGATGTGTGCTTGCTCTGTGAATTCATTTCATGGGACAAATCAGTGCATTCATTCCACATTTGAGGAATGTTTCCTGAGCACTTACAATGTGGATGTTTGAGATCCAGGCCCTCATGCAAGGAGCTCACAGTCTAGTGACAATTACAATCCAGGGCCAAGTGCTTTGCTGGAGGTCGTGTCAGGGACTGAACCCAGAGCCTGAAATCACTGTCTTGGCTCAGACCCCTGCTCCAGCTCTTCCTAGCTGTGCAATCTTGGAGAAATTACCCTCTCGGCTTCAGTTTGGTCACCTTTAAACTGGGATGATGACAGTAACTATACTACAGGGTAATTCAGTAAAACACATATTACAGTGCCCCACATGGAGAAGTGCTCTTGGGATGTTAGTAATTTTTCAGGATGCTGTGAGAGCACGGGGGGGGGGGGG